CCAGACGCGCCTGGCCTTGAAATTCAACTACGAATGCGAAAAACAAACAATCAAATCGAGCGAACTTGTTTGCTGAACTGGTTGGGTTTGGTTTCGATTTCATTTTTTTTTTCTGCTGTTTTCCTCGAAAAGTGATTTTAAAGTGAAATTTTCGGATTGTGTGTCACCTGGCCTGGGAGCACATGACTCAGGTTTGACTCAGTTATTGGTCCATTTTGCATATAGACAGGTTTTTGTTGGGATCTGTATCTGTGGCTTTTCTCAGAAGCTGTGGAAATATTTTGTCATGCAACGACATTTCTTTTAAAGATAACCACTATTGGCAATACAGTACTTTTACAATCTGAAATTGTAGGCAATATAAGACCTTAAATTCGTTTGGTAATTCCAAAGATCCATAAATTGCATCTAATTTAATAAATTGGACAAAAACTTGTTAAGTATTTTGACAATGTTGTGACAATCTTTTTATGCTCCAATTTGAGCACAAATTACTCAATTTGAAGGCCAAATAAATAACTTTCAGCACCATTAAGTGAGATTTCCTGTTTTTTAAGAATCATTTGAGAATCTTTAAAATTAAATACATAATTCAACCATATAGAGGAAATCCGAAGAGAACTTGTCTGAATTCAATGTCAACATCTTTTGTCAAGTACACGGTGACCTGCAAAATAAGCCATCCACAAACCGGATATATAAGGCATTATCCAAATCACCTCTCTCCAACTGCGACTACAATTCCAGCTCCACCTAACTCCCCCTCATTCGGAGCTCGGCATTAATGAGGTTCATATAATTTAAATTTATTTTTCATTTGCTTATTTATGTGGCCATTGTGGCTGGGTATGAATTTTGCTTAGCCACGATCCACTGAGATATAGCCATTTGTTTGTGTGTGCGATTATGTAATTCCATTGCTGTTCGTTGCTGTTTTGTTTGGACTTCTCGAGCCGCAGCAACAACAAGTTTATACCGATGGCATTTTACTTTTGGTTTCGGTCGTATGTAGGTTGGGGTCACATCTCCGTCGGGCAATTGACTGCGATGACTGCCACCGGGGTCTGCCCCTCATTGTTTCGAGCACGAAGAGCAGGCAAGAAAACCAGCGAAAAAAAGAGTCAAGAAAATAACAAAAACAAACTCCACAAAGACACTCAGTTTGGGTTGAGGGCCCAAGCAACTTTGTCAATTTTCGACAAAACGCTGGAAAATTGGCGGGTGATATAAGCCAATCTCAGTCTTACAATTTGCCTTTGGTAAGAACTGGAAATTGCAATGAATTCAGTTAGGGAAATGACGTAAACTTATAATAAGCTAAAATGATTCTGTCATGTGAGCGAAGGCAAATAAAAAAGGTTATAAAGAATTCGGGGAGATGTGAATAGGAATACCTAAACTTAATATAGAAAACAAATTGACTATAAATAACAAAAATTTAAATAAATAAAACTAACAAAAAACCTATTTTCTACATTTTTAGGAGCTTCCACGCGCTGAACCTCTCCTGGGATCTGCTGGATCTGCCGACGACTCCGAGCTGCAGAGCCTGGAGCCCGAGAGCCGCAAGGCTGAAGCCACCCAGGATGCCGAGGAGCACTCCTCCGACAAGGACAACTCCTACTCCGATAGCGATGAGACCGACGAGCTGCAGAAGTACCCCGGCAAAATGCCGCTCGAGCTGGACTTGAGCGACCTGGCTGCCGCCATTCTGCGCAACAACAAGAGGTAAGAACGAAGAAATTAAATAGATAGTTAAAAATAATATAGTTAGGAATGAAATTTTTATTAAGATAAATAGAAGAACATTTCCCTGGATTAAGCTTTAAATCCCTTCTAAACATTTGACTTAACGAAAAACTTAAACGAAATCTTTGCTGCAACAGAAATGTAGTGAAGATTTTATTTTGAAACACCCTGAGAAGTCCAGAAAAGTATAAAAAGTATTTTAAAACAAACCAAAATCGAAGAATTTCTTTGGCACTCCAGAATATAGGTTACCTCTAAAAATATTTGTTTTTAAAAGAGAACTTTTCGTTTTAGTTTTCCCTATAACTGCTATTGACTTAAATTTTGTATTATTCAAGATTTATATAATTTATTTTTTTTAATAGATATTGAAATAGATATTTAACCTATTTATCAAAAGGAATACATCATAACCCCAATCCTAATCCTTCGAAAATTTGCCCCTTTCCCCCGCAGATCCCGCATGAACTGTGTGGTGGAGCGCAAGCACGCCGAGGAGATTGTCGACTCGCCCTCGAAGACGGTGGCCCTGCCGTTCGGCGTCAACCTGACCACGGATCCCAAGAAGGCCCGCATCACCGGCGAGCGGATCTCGATCTTCTGCGACGGCGGCGACGAGAAGGACAAGGAGGAGAAGGAGGCCAAGCGCCAGCGCGAACAGGAGGAGGAGGACTCCGACGAGGATGCCGAGCCGCTGCGACCCATGTTCATTCCCTTCCAGCGAGTGCCGATTCCCTTCGGACGCATTCCCGACCAGATGCCTCTGACCCACATGCCCCAGAGGATGATGCCCCCGGCCATGCAGATGCAGCAGTTGCCCCAGCAGCAGCAACAGGGACCCATCATCATCCGCCAGCTGCCTCCTCCGTTCCAGCACCTGCCCATGCGTCCCCCAATGCCACCACAGGTGATGCAGGCTCCCCGCATGGAGTCCTCGGAGGAGATGCAGATGCCCAAGGTCCAGACCCTGCGCATCCACATGCAGCAGATCCCCTTCCGCGAGATCCACGTGGCCGATGATGTGCCCGTCCAGATTCCCGCCCAGCAGCGCCAGGAGCAGCAGCAGCGCCAGGAGATGCAGCACCGTCAGGAGATGCAGCAGCGTCAGGAGATGCAGCAGCGCCAGGAGCAGCGTGAGATTCCCCAGATCCAGATCCAGCCCATGCCCTTTGGCATGGCTCTGCAGCGTGTGGGCATCACCGCCGAGGATCTGAGGAACATCCAGCGCATGGCCGAGGATCGCATCACCGATGAGCTGCGTCGTCTGGCTGCCGAGGAGGGTGCGGAGTCCAACGAGGGCAGCGATGAGGATGTCTCCACCTCTGCTGAACAGGCCACCACCGAGGCACAGACCACGGGGCAGCAGCAGCAGCACCAGCAGACCAGCCAGCCCGAACAGCAGGAGGATCAGCACCAGGAGGTCAGCCAGGAGCGACAGGAGCCGCAGCAGCAGCAGCAACAGGAGCAGCAGGTGCCCCAGATGCGCATCCAGCGCCTGATCCTGCAGCCGCTGCCGGAGCAGCCCCGTGATACCATGACCCCGCCCATGCCCGATCAGCCCCAGCAGTTGCCCTTCGGTCGCATGGTCTACGGCCGTAGTCTGGCCCAGCCCGTCCGCATCCCAGTGCCCATGATGCAGGCCATGGAAGGAGGAGCTGTTCCCGAAGAGTCCCAGCGACCTCACTGTGAGTACCAACCATATCATAAATAAAGATTACACTTAAATGGAATAAAACGTTTTTGTTTGTCCCTATTTTATCTTTAAAAGATTATAAATCTTTAAAACTTTTGTTGGCATTTACTTATCTATCTATTTAATATTCCACATATCGATTCCTATTCCAAATATAATAATCTCAGCTTTAAATGTACCCATCTGGTTATAAAATAATCTTTGGAATAAATACATCTTAAATCTTTAATACTGAAATAAAAAATCGTTAAAATAATTATCACAGAATGAATAATTAAACTTTAAACCTGTTTTTGTTCATTGATATACCATTAAAAGATCTAGACAAATGTAATTAGTCAAATGAATATTTATGCCTCAAATTTAAGTCTTCAAATTAAATCTCAGAATAATTTACTTTGAATTACGTATCAAAACTGATTTATTAATTAATCGATCATTAACGTAATTAATCTTTGGCTCATTAAAAGCCAGGATTAAATAAGAAAAAAATGTATTGAAATTCAAATATTTATATTTATGTATTTTTGTTTTCTTTTATATGACGATCATTTTATCATTAGCAAATTAATTTCTCCATTCTCAGTCGTCCAGCCTCGTTCAGTTTAAGTAACAAGAAGACCACGCCTGTGATTGCTGCTGTGCGAATCGAATCTCGACGAGAGGGAAGAAGGAGAAGAACTAGGAGAAGGAGTCATTATGTCCCCAACTAAACCCGAAGAATCTATTGAATTGTAACCGAGTCGTCTCGATTTGTTTTGTTATTAAAGCAGCTTTAAAAAAAAGTAAAAACCAAAACTAAATCAAAAAGTTTTATACATCCTTTCAACCCTTTTTGGCCTTCTTCTAAAAAGCTTTTCTATATATATCATATTTTTATATTTTATATAACTGCGTGTATAACATTCCAACCAACAACAACACAAAAACAGAAAGCAATCTCTTGTGAAAAAGAAAATTGAGAAAGTTTTCCAAATGTTTTTTTCTTTCAGTTTTTTGAATTGTCTACAGTTTTGTTTTCACATTCACACACAAATAAATCCGATGGAAATTTTTGTACATAAATTATTATCGTATTTTTAATTAATTAATTGTCTTGTGTAGTTGTTAGTAAATTAAGAACGATGCTGAAGCTGATCTGATCTTGATATAATCAAATTCCAAAACCAACGACAGCAAAAAGAAATTTGTACATTTTATTTAAATATATATACTATATACACACACACATTTTGAAGCGAATAAAATTGTGGATAATTGGAAATCAAATATGAAGTCTTCTTGTTTAAATGTGGGAAATGGAAAAATTATATTCAAATGAGATTTCACTAGTACGACCAACTAACCCAAGCAGTACATTTTAAAATCACCTGAAAACTCATTTTCCCACAGGGTCGACAATATCTTTTGGAATGCATATTCTCTGAAACAAGAATTCATTTTCAGAAATAAGTAAGTGTACTGTTGAACTCCTTTCGAACTTTAGCATCATTTAAATTTTATTTTATTACTTCTAGACACACCTTTGTTTTTTTAGATATCGCTCAAATCATACAAATTCGCAAAAATCGAACAATATTTATTTTTGTATATGCTTAAATCTCCCGCGTTTACCTCGTTTTTACATTTTTGTGCTTGTCTCTCGTTTACAGTTTATGTATGTATATAATATATATATATATTGATCAGTGTAAGTTATATGTTTGTATATACAGTTTTTGCACGTGCACGAGACAGGGTAATAACAACCGATGTCAGCGGATTCCGTTGGCTCAGCAAGGATGCGCAGTGTTGTTTTGTTTTTTTCTTAATTTTCTTTACAATTACTTTTTGTATAATATATATATACTATATATGACTAATCGTAAGTTGCATTGACAAGTGGGGTAGATAGGGGTTCTTTTGATTTTAAGGGGTCTTTTTGGGTGGGGTGATGTACAATACGTTTTCGTAGCGCTTTCTCTCGTTAAAACTAAATTCGTCTAAGCCTTAAAAACAAAACACACGCTTGAATACAATTACAGTTCATAACCAAAAGAATTATGAAGGAAACATATGCGGAGCTGGAAATAATATATATGGATCTAAACACACAATCTTTGTTCCTGGTCGGACTCACTCATCACTTGTATCACTGATTTCACCGATTTAGTCAAGTTCCCTTATCCTTTTTCTCCGCCTGCTCTGTTCCGGTTTATCTGATTTATAGGATGTAAAGCTGTAACAACGCGAACGTAATTCCGAAATAAGGTATCTATCATTATTAGCACTTCATCTCTTCGTTGACTATGACTACTGGGGTGTACTAGAGTGGGAGGAGATGATCCTCTAGCCATTCTCACATTGGTGACCCTCGCAGTTGCCCCAAAATATGCAGTTCCCGACGCCACTGTAGCATATAAGTGAGACGGCCGTGAGGAACACCAAGCTGCAGATGGTACAGGGTTTACGCTCCAGGAAGAACCCGACCAGGTACAGCACTATGAACATCACGTGCGTTTCCATCAGGGCCGGATTTGTGGGTTTCGGTATCAGTAATACGGGTAGCAGGCATTGCAGGCAATACATTCTGTGTGCGGGTGGGTGCGTGTTTTCTAGGGTTCTATTAGCGAGTTGACGTGGTCTTCCTCGCAAAGGCCTGCAAAAGTAAAAGTCCCAGGAAAAACCCGGGGGGTCGAGGTTAGTCTTAATTGTTCTATAATTACTATCAACCGTAGTCCTGGGCAAAGACCAAAAACGTCAGCAGTCGACGAATCTGTTGTCACTGGTCTTTTGGAGTTATTTACTGCCAGGATTACCTCTCCTTGGGCCTCCTGGCGCTGGGCTCTCAATTTTCAGCTCGTTTAGTTGCTCGTTTGTTGTGCGTCGTTTAAAATCATCACATATTTACCCAATGCTACCAAAATTCTCTAAACATTGTATGGGTCGGAGTGGTAGTGTTGCCTAACGCTCGATTCTGGTGCGTTGTTATTGCTGGTTCCGCGGAACCAATGGAATCAGTTGTGGGGGCGGTACCACTTCATCCCGCAAATAATTTAAATTTAAACTGTGGTATTATTTATAGCATTAGGAATTATTTATTTATTTAGAATAAGCAGATCGTTAGCGTCGATCAATGCAACAAATCGAAATTATAGCTCATATATTTTTTATATTTTCATAGAGATAAAACAACAAAACTTTACACAATGCAACTAAATTTTTGTAAGCCCCAGGAAAAATATGTATTACCATGGACTACTTAATCATATAACTACCAGAAAAACAAACGGTATGTAAATGCATTTCAAATTTGTATATACGAGTTTCCTAATTTTATATTTGATTCTAAACGGAAGACATTTTTCGTAAGCAAATACATAGTTATGTATTCAGATTGATATGCAGTTTATAGCTTAACATGAAACATACCAAAATATTTATATACATACAGCTTTAGCTTCTCATATGGCAGCGGTAAATAAACATAAAATAAAGAAACTATCCTATCCTATATATGTATTATACATTCCAGTAGAGAGTGTTTTGATATATCGAAGGAACAGTAGCCAACGGAAGCAGGAAAATCCATCCAGCAAATCCAGATATATAGAGGACAATGGCCACCACTCGTCGCCAAAGATCCTGCTGCCACAGATCCTGCAAATCTGGGAGACCCATATGATTGCAAAATGCGTGCACCAGAATCGGAGCCACGACATGACCCGTCCGAGCAAATAGAAAAGCGGAATAAAATCCAAACAATGTGGTGTAGATGAACTGGAACAATCCTATCAATAAGGCAGTGCTTAGCTCCACTCCCAAACTCAATCGCTCGGCTATGTGATGCAAATGGGCCACTCCAAAGAAAAGTGGCGTTATAAAAACGGCGACCAAGGGTGAAAAACTCTGCAGGATCAAGGGCATCATGCAGGCTCGGAACACAAACTCTTCGCTCAGCGGAGCCATTACATGGTTACGCACCCAGATGATACTGTTAAAGGATCCTCGCCAGTAGTCAAGATCTGAAATATAAATTAAGGAATGAGTTCTGGTTTAAAAAGGTGCAATTTTATAACATAAATTCATTCTGCATTTTCTTTATAAATATTTTCTCGACTAGTATAAAGCACAAAGACGTAGTCTTTAGCAGGGAAAACTATTTTTTTTAGAATTAGTAATTTAAAAAATAAATAATACTATTCTAAGCTGACTCATTCTGTTGTTAAATGATGTTAAAAGTAACGAACAAAATATAACATTTTCGATTTCAAAATTTAAAAAAAAAAATTACTGGAATTCGAAAATTTGTTACAAACCAAAGTAGGAGCGTATGGACTCGTTCTGCATGTTGACAAATATGGGTCCCAGGAAGAGTAGTACCGTTAGACCGTAGGGAATCACCACCGCCTGCCATAATCCTTCCATGCGGAATCCCAGCAACTTAGGAAATGGCTCACGGCTGAGGAGTTCCGGCGATGAGAAGAAGTAAACAAAAAAGGGGGCCATCACCATAACTATGGATACACTGGCGAATCTTCTCTTGATCGTCGTCGGATGATCCCGGTTGTGTTTTGTGCTCCAAACGTAGAGGCTTCCCACGTAGAGGACCGCCAGTACAAAACAGCAGGCCACCGAGGTGACCACTGGGATTTGGGGCAGTGATTCGTGTATTGGATGGTTCTCCATGGTAACTTCGGCTGCCATCTCACTCATGTTGTTCATTTAATTTAGGTTATTCGTCATTGTTCGGTGACTACTTATTAGCCACAAAAGTATACAATGCCAGATGAGATAAACAGCTGGTGGCCGAAATGTGACCGTTAATACTAAATACGTCTCGGTATCTTTTATAAGCCAGGCTAACACAGTATTTACAAATAAAAATATATTGATAGTATAGGTTTTTCATTAAAAACTACAAAATAACGGAAAAATAATTGATTTAAACAATTATTTTAAATTCATTAACAGAACAGAAGATCTTTCAAGATTTTCCAAACACAAATAACACACCATTTTAAAGCAGGTATTAGAAACTAATTGGGTGTTAAAACTAATGTAGATTGTTGTCTCTAAATCTTAAAAATTGTTTGATTAATTCGTTCCTATCCAAAGGCAGTTATCAATTAACATTTAAATTTTAACTGATTTTGATTGTTAATATTCGCGGTATATTCAATCACTCCTTAACAATTTTAAGCTCACTTGGTCACATTTATTTGTGATAAGCATCGTGCGGCGACTTTTGGTTGTGTTTTTAAACAATTATTCCCGTAAAGTGGAACGGCCATAAAAATAAATTGATAAAAAGTTTAATAAGGGAGCAAGTTAACTCCGAAGTACCGCCAATATGTCTTTTCTACTGAAAGCAGCTGCCACAGCCCGTCAAATCGTTCATAAGGTTTCCCGAACATATGTTCCGAACTCTTCACAAAAGAGAAGTTGAGTTGTTGACCTTTGCCTTTGCTTTGTTTATCTTTCGATGATAGGTACCCGTGCGCCATCTGAATCTCCTGGAGTTTCAGAGCAAGGATCTCCTCCAGAAATACGGAGTAGCCATCCAGCAATTCAAGGTTTTGGATAACTCCAAGGCAGATACAGAAGTCGTCAAGACTTTTGGTAAGTAGAGGAACCATGCCGGGTGTTTATGTAATCTCTTGGCTAATTGATGTTAAATGCTTTTTCAGAATGCCCGGAATATGTGGTCAAGGCGCAGATTCTGGCCGGTGGACGTGGAAAGGGCACTTTCGATAACGGTTTCAAAGGCGGCGTTCATATCACCTCAAAGTAAGATAAAATGCGTCAGTTTTGATTTTCACAGTCACAGAACAAGTTTAAATTGCCTATATTTTAAAATGTTGTCTAAGAATAATATTTACCTTAAATCTCTTTTTTTTAATTTAAAAAGTATGCTGGATTTGATATTATTAATTTTTTTGTTATAGACTTAAATATTTTTCTGAACTAAAAACTAAAAAAATATGATAAAAATTTCCTTGTTTTTGAATTTTTAACATTTAAAATTAATGTTTTGCCTTCTTTTAAGGTTAAATTAGATATTTTTTAGTCGAAAGCTAACAGCAAACCCAATAAGAAAAGTGAAATGATCAAATTACTTGTTATATTTTATATCTGTTTGTGAAACCCAGAACAAGCTTTAAAGGAAAATCAGATAAGGCGAGCTAATATAATTGTTTGTACTTTTGGCAGCAAGAGCGAGGTGCTTTCGCTTACCCAGCAGATGATAGGAAACCGGCTGATAACGAAGCAAACGCCCAAATCGGGAATTCTGGTCAACAAGGTCATGGTGGCGCGTAGTATCAACATAACCCGGGAGACCTATCTCTGCATCTTGTTGGATCGCGAGCACAATGGACCCGTGTTGATTGCTTCTCCCGCTGGAGGCGTGGATATTGAGGCAGTGGCCGAGGAAACCCCGGAGAAAATTAAGACTGTCCCGCTGAGCATTGATAAACCCATTCCGGAGGCGACGCTCTTGGAGGTGGCCAAGTTTTTGGAGTTCAAGGGAGATTCAGTGAAGCGTTGTGCCGAGGAAATTCAGAAACTCTACACTCTTTTCAAGGCTGTTGACGCCGTACAGATTGAGATCAATCCTTTGGCGGAGACGGATAAGGGAGAAGTCATCTCAGTTGATGCCAAACTCAATTTTGATGATAATGCCCAGTTCCGTCAGAAGGATATCTTCGCCATGGACGTCACCGAGGAGGAATCTGATCCCCGGGAAGTAGAGGCGGCCAAGCACAATCTTAACTACGTCGCGATGGATGGAAACATTGGTTGCTTGGTGAATGGCGCTGGTTTGGCCATGGCCACCATGGACATCATCAAACTGAATGGCGGCGAGCCCGCCAACTTCCTGGATGTCGGAGGTGGCGTCAAGGAGGATCAGGTGGCCAAGGCCTTCGAGATCCTCACCGCTGATCCAAAAGTCAAGGGAATTCTGGTCAATGTTTTCGGCGGAATTGTCAATTGTGCAACGATTGCCAATGGTATTGTGGCTGCCTCCAAGAAGTTGCAACTGAATGTTCCATTGGTTGTGCGATTGGAGGGCACCAATGTGAACCAGGCCCGCGAAATCTTGAAGAATTCCGGTCTGCCCATTCAAACTGCCAGTGATTTGGATGATGCCGCCCATAAGGCGGTAGCTGCCCTTAATTAGGGAGATCTTCATCAAGGAGAGAATGTCTTCCAGATTATCATGACCCACATTAGCATTTACAATGGATAGGCCTTTTAAATCTAAGTTTAAATCAACAATATAATCAGAATATGTTATATTTTACAACTGAGTTTGTGTGTTATTTGGGTTTAATAGGCCCTGTAAATGAATAAATAAATACAGGCTCTATGGTACGCATATTTAAATTGTGGATCATATTTTTTTGTAGACTATGAAAATTCCATATAGCAATATAGGGATGCCACAATTCAGGGAATACCCTCCATATATTTATGGTATATTTTTAAAAATAAATGTTATAATGCGCGGTATATTTTGTCTACTTTAACGCGGTCACACTGCAGTCACACCCAAACAGCCAGCAAACCAAACAAACAACGAGGAATCCAGCAGATTTTCCATAGAATCTCCCAACCAAAGGATGCAAAAATCATCCCACATTGCACGCGAAGATTCCCAGGAGCACCTGCCCACCAGACATACTCAAGACATCCACACGGTGAACATGAAGAGGCGCACTTTATCCGGAAGCTGTGGTGTAGGCGTCTTCGTGTTTGCCTTTGCCTTCATTGCGATTGCATTTGCAACGCCCAGTTGGTTGGTCAGCGATTACCGCATCACAGGCGCCAAGTTGGATCGCCTGGGATTGTGGGTGCACTGCTTCAGGTCGCTGGCGGATGTGAATGACAATAGCCAGCGGAGGTTCTTCGTGGGCTGTCGCTGGGTCTACGACCCATTTACCACTGGCTACGACGAGATCCGAGGATTCCTGCTGCCCGGTTTCATGATAGCCACTCAGTTCTTTTACACTCTGGCCTTTATCGGGATGCTACTGTCTGCCATTGGAGTACTGATATTCTTCCTGTGCGCTGGACCGGATCAGAAGCACTTCATCACCCTCATCCGATCAGTGGGCTATGTGCTCCTGGGAGCCGGAGTAAGTGCGGCCATTGCCGTGATAGTATTCGCTGGATTTGGCAACCGGAATGGCTGGATGCCGGAGCATGCGAACAATTGGTTCGGTTGGTCCTTCATCCTGGCCTGTGTAGGCACAGTGTTCACCCTGGTGGCAGCCACGTTGTTCCTCACTGAAGCTCATGTGCAGCACAGGAAGCGAATTCAGTTCAAAGAGTCCCAGACGCGATTCGAGTTGGTGCGCGGATAGTCGCTGGTGAGTACTTGGCCATATCCAAGTCGGGGTCAGTGGGTTAACCTTGTTGCATTGTTTTTTTTCAGTCGCAGCAACTGGCACACATACACCAAGGAAAACACAGAAACTACGAGCAAGTTAAGAGCAGAATAACACAAAAACATTCCGTCCCCACGAAGAATTCTCACCCTAAGTATCACAGTCGAACTTCTTTAAGACGAAAATTCCCAAGTCAAAATTTCAGCAAGTAACAAATTTCATACGTTATGATCATAAGAATTTGAAATTCTGCAATTTTTAAGATACAATTCAATTCTTTAATTTAAAGAAGTTTAAAAACACTTGAAAAGTTGTATAAAGAAGAAATGCCAAAAAGCAATGTTTATTTTAACAGCATACTTTTAGCCACATTTTAAAATAACGTACTACAATTTTTTTTCCTTTTCTTTTACAATTTTATTTATGTTAAATGGTTAACCATAAAGTATTTTAGCAAAAAAGAGGAATTTATTTATTTTCTCTTAGAGTGCTTGACTCTCGCCTAATAACTAAAAACATGTTTAATTTAAAGAAGTTCGACTGTAAATATAGTTTATAGTTCAAAAAGTTTATGCAATTGACAGCCACACCGCATCACATTTCAGTTCTTGGTACTTATTAATCATCCATCCAATCGACCAGATCAGTTCCGAACGAAGACTGAATGTTTTTTCGAATGAAAATCGCATCTACCGCACAGCTACCATCAAACGAGGACGCTCAACCTTATGACTCATGTTCATGTAGAGTATTCTACAGTATTTGCATATCAATTTTCGCTCAATTAACGCCCAGAGACAACCGCCGTCCCCCCTCAACAATTGCATCTACTTATTTTTGCAAAGTCGCAGGCTAGCTGAAACTAGCAACGAAATATTACACTCGTGCCTTAATTAGAGAGAACTATTTTGGTATAGTTCATAGTGCCTAAAACAAATTATTGTTAGATACCTGATCGACCGACCTGCGATGAACTCCATTGGATTGCATAAACTTCTGCTAAGCTAGAGCGTTAGATTAGTGACCCAGAGAAAGCTAAGCGAATTCCGCCCATTATCATTAAGACACGAACATTCCCTTTTATACTCGAATATTCCGCACATGTGTACCTTCTTTTAAAGGTACGGAACAATTAGGTCTGTATTAGTAACTATTTGTCTTTTGCACAAAATTTGTATTTGTAACATATTCCAAACCAATAAGATAGCAATGTTTTAAAAAAAAAATACAGACGTCTTTTACCCCCATATACAATAATATTTGTAACATTTTTTATGTACAAACGACTTTTAGCTAAAGCGAAGAATAATAAAGTTTTTATTGTATACAACAGCTGAATGCATCTTTTGAGCGGGTTCAAGGCAGTCTGGGGTCCAAGCTGAGACTCGCAACAATGAATCTCCTCCCCAGTCACATTGGAGCATTCGACTTAGTTTTCCCATGGCGTTTGCATTTTGGGAAAACCAAACAAACTTTTTGTTGTCAGTTTGTTAGCAACTGAGGCAATGGAGTCGGATATGCATCAGTTTACTGGAGTAACAATTGATATGCCAACGGATTGTGGGCTGCACCATGTGTCAACTCAACGATTTCGAAGTTACCTTTTGTGCTGAATTATTTGTTAATGAGAAACTTTTCAATGGTAAAGTGTAATTTCTGCAAGACCAAAATCAGTTTTATATAAAAAAGTGTAGTTTATTATTTAAATGCTATTTATTTTATTTTTTGTTTCCTTAAAGAAAAAGCTATTGATATGTGTTTAAAAATGTATTAAAAGTCGTTAAACGTTAAAAGATTGAAACATTTTTTTCCGAACACTTATTTGCGTTCCAAACAATAAGACATTTTCAAAGAGTACCTGTCACCTCAAAAATGTTTTTTAAAAAAATAGTTTTCTTTAAAAACTTGAACTAAATTGAATAATCTATCTTCGACAAGGGTAACTTTCAAATGTCTTAAGCTCATGACATAAACATACTTGATTAATGGTTCATTTAAAACGCTACGGAATAAAATATATAATCTTCGACTGCTTTACCTTCATTCTTACGTTCCAAAAACCCATAAAACTATTAGATCATTTTGTCAACAATATCTGCCTGGACTCACTCTGGCACTTAAAAAGTCTTTTAAATGGTAACCATAACAAAATGAAATATGTTAATTTGTCTGGCTTATAAAGGCATAATTAGTGAAACAGGTGGTAAGATATGTCGATCAGAAAAAACCCCACCCACGATTTTGAGACCCGACTTGGCAATGACATTCAGGGAAGAGACAGAAAGAAAAATGGATCTTTTAATCGATTGTGAGAACTTGCTGAAGCGTGAAATCTGACTGAAGATAGTTCGGATTGATGGATGGATTAGCGTGCACATTCGCTACAGATCTGATTAGCGAAAAACGAAGTCGATTCAAACCGGATGCCCCATGCCTCATGACTGACTCAGTCGAATAGCCTTGGTTGAAAACTGCACAAAAATATGTGCTAAACGCAAATTTATTTACGGATTTTATTATGGCCACCATATCGAGAGCGAGGAACCTCCACATCCACTTTTGGTGACCTCACTTGCCGTTAGATTGACAAACAAATCGGCTTACTTCACTCATTACACGGAACGGATTAAGAATTTTGAAATAACATGGCTTAATCTAACTGACTGTGTGTGAAAATTGTCGAGTTTTCGCTGCTCGGATTTTCTTGCTCAGGGTTCTTCTGCTTTACATTTGAATTTGATTGACTGACAGCTTCGAAATCCCCTTTGGAAGCAGTTTGCTGATTACAAGTGATTAAGAGACATCGTAATTATAAAATGTTCATGGGAAATTAGCGTGGATAAAAAATAATAATTATTTATAATGTGTCCAAAGTATATGTTTTACTTAATTTATACATGTATTCATAAGCAAACAACTAAACTTAATATACTAATTTAATATATTATTTAAAAAAAAAGAACCGAACTAGGGGGAATAAATTTTTGCTTAATTTGTTTCAAGAGGTTTCAAGATTTTCCATTTGCATAAAATGCTGCCATCACAACATACAGTAGAACATGAAGAGAAGAACCAGAATTTGAAGTTAATTTCGAGCCCGAGACGAGGCTTCATTAACAAAAGGCAATATACCTGTTCTTAGGCGCTGGCCAGAGATTAATTGCCATCGCTTTGGCCACAAAGAAACATTTTGCATAATATTTTCAATCAAATCGAGCGTCAATGAACGCTTATAAACATTGAAATTAAAAGTTGTCGGAGGTATTTATTTTTGGGGGATAAGAAAATCTTAAATCGAAAACGAGAGTTTGGGTCTGCGATTACGCAAAAGTCACAAAAATAAACTGTTTATAATCAATAAGCAAAGCCATTAGATTGATTACTATTTGCCACACGCAAACTTTCCTCAAAAACCACTCTTTTTTTGAAGTTTTGTTAGTGCTGCTGGTCTTCTATAAATATTGATAGAGTCCGTGAAGGTCGGGTTCAGTATGGGCTCATTAAAACTTTATGGACATTTCGATTTTATTTTATTTCCGAAATAGAACAACTTTTATGGCACTTTACACAAATTGGGCTTAGGCATTCACAACGACTTCAGCTGGATTAACATGTTCAGTTTAATTTGATTAATTAATTTTAAGAGCATTCCTGTATGGTGTTCTGATCTTAAACGTTTCTATTTTTAAAGCTCGAGAAAAAGGACTGTATGCAGAATCTTGATAGGTTTGTTCGTTGGTTTGTGGCTTCTGCTGACGTGCGTAATTAATGAGGAATTTATTTGAATTCTTGTTTTGGGTATTTTCAGTGTGTATCCAAAACGAGATTAGCATGCTTATAAAAATCTTAAAAGACTTGCGATAGTGTGCAAAAAAAGCAAGTTTGCATCATGAATATGCAATCGAAAAGTTGGAACATTTCTTTATTGAGTTGAATGAATTTCATTGTCCGGTTTATTTAAAAAGGGGTTCTTTGAAGCGAATCGAAAGCGGAAAGATAAAATAAAATAACTTGTATTTATATACGTTTAAACAAGGAATTATATGTTGGCTTTAAAAAAAATCCCCAAAGCTTAAAGGCTGGCTTGTGTGCCTCTAAGTATTTAGTGTTTCACTTTGAACGAAAGTTCTTTGCAAAACGAAAGTAAAAGTCTTTCTTAAGAAATTCCGAATTCTGTTTCTTTTGTCTATCTTTGCAGTCAGTGACTTTCGTTAAAAGTTCACGCACATTTAAACAGATTAGCATTTCTGAAGAACGTCTTTTGCTAGGTTAAAGGTATCCAATGTAATATGTATCGCATGTCTAAATAAATGCTCTGCTTTTCAGGTGAAATGTCAGTCCAAAAAATTAAGCTTCAGTGTGTTAAAGACCACCCGCAAGGCTGAACATTCAAAGTTTCACCTCTTATTATTCACATAAAGAATAAGTATACGAGACGTGCGTCAGCAAGTTCCTTGAACTTCACATAGTTACCTAAAATAGAAGAACGTGGCAGGCGGCTGAGACAGTTTGGTGGCTTTTAGTTCAAAACGATGCTTAGCTATTATAGAATATTATATCACAGCATAACCAGTATCCTCTGGCTGGCCATAATTCCGCCTTTCCGAGATATTATCATTCAAATGGCCCAGCCCCGGAGTCCACAAGTGGCCAATCCGGACACGCAACATTTGCGTCACCAAAATAGTGCTGAGCCGACAGATCATTAGATATGCTTCTGAACTCGGGGAGATGGCACTGGGTGGCTTCGAGGGGATTCAAAGTCGGAGACAATGCCATAACTTTTATGTAAAAGACACTTCATAACACTTTCAGATAACAAACTTGTCTAAGTTATGAAAGAAAAGCCCTATTAACACTCTATGCTAGCCAGAACACGTTCAGGCTCTTAAAACTAAACTACATTTTAGATTCTAATTTATGCACACACATTTTGACCAAATCAAATCAGCCAATATTTGGCAAATAAAACCAGCTACCAAACGAACTTCGATTAAAATCAACAAAAAATAGAGAATGTGGTTTTCTGGTCCGCCCATCGTAAAAGTTCAGTTGTTTGCGCCTGTTCTTGATTGGGTTTTGAATTTTGATATTTTTTTGCATGATGTTTTTATGATCTGATTTAAAGTAAGCTTTGTGTGCTAATGACAAACCTGAGAATGGATCAAAGTTACCTAATTGAATTATTTCTATGCTAATTTGTGTTTTCCTCCTCGAAATGGATCGTAAAATGTTTGCTGTTTTATATATGCTTTCTTGCTCCTCATTAATATCAAAATGTGACACCCGAGCTAAGAAAAAATACTGTATCTAATTTTTGGGCCCACAATCGCCGCTAAAATGTTGTTGAATTTTAACTATTCCTTTACTTTAGTTAAAATTAATCTTTGTTTTTATTTGTGCGAAGCCTCAATGCCACCGTTTTTATTTCGCAGGTTTTTTAGTTTTGCTTTAATTCCCTTAGAGGTGATTTTGGTCTTGTATTTCCTGGCTAAAAAATATGTGAGCGTACGCATTATATTTCAATAAATCACAAGAGATAAAACATCTGAAGTAGCAGGTGAGGCGCTTTAGAGGTATTTTAAGAGGTTGAACCATTCGAATTGGTGGGATCTAAGTGGAGGAATCCTCATGCTTTATTTTCGTAAACAATCATTAAACTTTTTATGGACTAATAGTTCAAACTAGAGTTGGGTTTTTTTGAAACTTGACCACTTAAAGTTGCGGCTTATTTTCGTGTGAGCTTAATTTGGTGTCATAATTCAAACAAATGTCTCGCTTATAAATTAATAAATATTTATAGTCTTAATGCCCGGCGATTTTGAGCAGGCTTAGGCAAATATTGGCTCACAATATAAGCTAGCATAAGTATTGGTCAAAGTGTATCTCTAGTTTTTTATGAAGTAGAAACGGAAGTATAAAATTAAATTTACTCCGCGGAGGCAGATAAATTTCGCTTGGTGTTGACAGTCAACGAAACAAAAGTGTATTGATTGATTGCAACAAGGCGAAGGAAATTTGTTTGCAGTTTTGTCTGACCATGTTCGACCTTGGCTCTTGCTCCACCCTCTCAGGAGGTCCCCTCTTCCACGAATTATCTTAAATACACCGAGTTTTAATGTTCTCTCAGTGTTCAGCCACAATTTGTATGCAAATGATTTGTTTATATGTTACCAGCTGCTACTACAACCTCTACCTTGGACAAACAAGTTCTTGGTGTCTGATATCATTGATAAGATGGCCAAGCGGATTATGTTACTGGCCAAATGCCTAAGACAATTGCGGCCTGTCATTCCGCCAGACCCGTTCGTCATTTGTCTTGGCATTATTTCAACTTTTAATTGGCCGCGAATTCTTTTTCACTCCCCGGTATTTCTCACGTATTGTGCGATGACCAGAGCTGAGGACAGACGCGGATTGAAGGTGTCGGAGATTGGGCGCTACTGATTTAAATAAAAATAAAATACATAGGCGCTCTTAAATAGGAGTTGACAAGAAATAACGCTTTCTATAATTAATACATACCCCAAATAAAGTATTACATGTCTAAAATGTAATATTACAGTATTATTTTAAGTTGTCAAAATAACAAATCTTCGGGTCCCCGAGTTTTGCCAATCCGCTCCTGTTTTATTCAAAAAATCACATCATAGGCCTGTTATTCTTTTGATTATTACAAATTTGCCTAATGCATTTTTAATGAAACCACTCGAATGACATCATACGAAATTGGTTCGGTTGAATACAAAACTTTAGCAAAATTCCAGCAGACTTAATTTGAGCTGGCTAACTCGTCAGTACCCAAGTTTAAAAATGTAGCAGCTCTTAAGAAATTCCTAAAGAATTTCATGAAATAATTACAAAATTATTTGCAAGTCTCTCAGCTTGATAAATTCGCAGCTGCCATTAAACTCTGCGAAAATGGCAAACGGATGTAAATATATATTCGCATCTGTGACGCATCCATGAATTCGTTTTGCCTTTCACTTTAGACCAGCGAAAAAAACTTATCCTTTTAATAGCAGCCTGACATTAAAGGATTACAGGGCGTTCATTTTTTTAATCAAAAAGACTAAAGTTCAGACGAAATTTAAAGACACGTCCGGAAATGCCGGGAGAACAGTCGAGAAGGGAAGAGGACCAGGATTTCATAGTTGATTTATTTTTGGGACCGAGATTGCGCAAGGGCAACTTGGCGAAGTCATTCAACTCCGGTTACATAAGCATCGATGCGTGCGGCTGAAGAAGGAAGCAGCTGCTGGGAGGCGATATATGTATATCTGAATCTGAAGTGAAGGTCGTCGAATGCAACATGCAACATGCGACCGGGGATCAAGGGACTTGCCCTGCACAACCATGACTCATTGGCCGGAGAGCAAACCCATTCGACTGAACGATTTATGGTAACGATTCCCCCATCTCGACGCATCATCTCATCGACTTGAGTCAGAGGCGTTGACTTTTGGTATTTTGTCAGAGAGACTGCAACAAATTGGTCTTGGTAGGCTTTCTAAATTTGGTGCTCAATGTACGTATTCTGTCTACAACAGAAATCTTGGCCATTGCGTAGCTCACTCGCCTCGGATTCTTTGTTCGCATGAAATATTGATCTTAGGTTAAAGTTGCTCATTTCTTGTGTCTTTTCTCATATCGAACTTGACTTGGGCTTGTTAAAAACGTATCTCAAATGCGATATTTCTATTTATATATTTGATTTCTTGATAGTTTCGCCAACTTATGAATTTGATTAACAAAAATTTAACTTGTTTTGCGACTGTTGATAGCTAAAAGTTTTTCGTTTTGGGGTTTTGTTCTCTCAAAGGTCGTTTCCCAAAAAAAAAAAAACTGATGTATGGTGTGACTCGTTGTGGTCATAAAAATTAAATTTTGTGTGGGCTAAAAGTTAGCGAATATTAATATATATATGTGTATATAAATTAATTTAAATTCCACAGAGCTCAAATTTGGATTAATCCCAATTTAAATATATAAAATTCTTTGTGCCTTTTCACTGCTTCGAAATTACTTTGCCCACTTGCCCACTGTTTTTGGGGCTTATCTCGAAATTATGTTTAATAATTTTACTGTCAATGAAACTCTGTCAAAAATGCATTTACATATGAAATAAAATTAAAGCAAAACAAAAGCCCCGTGTTTTAAATGCTTCATTTTGTTTTTCCTTTTTTTCGGTCAGCGCGAAGCTGCGAAAAATAAAGTAAAAAATTGTTATAATGCTTTGAGAATGTTGATGGCTTTAGAGGATATACCCCGATTACTAAGCGATGTCAAGGTTATCATTCATTGGCGGTAATGTAAAAGGAATGTTGAGAATGCATTTAAGTATTTGACTTTTTTGTGATTTTTTTTCAGTGAGTCTACTGAATTAAGTTTTATTATTCATCCTTGCTTAATATTGCCGTTGGCACATATTTTTTAAATTTATATTTTTCATTTTTAACTAAGCCCACGTAGACATATTTTACAAAAAGAGCTCCAGCTGCGTTGGATGCTTGCATGCTGAGCCAAAATTCATTGGAACGCCCTTTATTTAAGGTGGGTATATTAAAAAAATTAATATATCTGTGTATAAAATTTATGAAATTTTAACATTTAAAAATTCATTTTCATATATTTGTTTATTTAAATTTTTAAATACTACATTTAAAAAAAAGATTTGACTATTAAAAAAACCTAATTGAGTGTATTCAACTTTCGATTCTCGTTTATTCACACTCTTCTCTTACTTATTTTGGTTTTTATAGTCAAAAATACTTATACATTGTCTTTTATTCGGTGGGCTTTAGCCTTGACTTAAGCATTGTCATTAAAGTCATCCTGTTTAATGTCCAAGAGCGAAGAAGCTGATTATTTTCTGTGTCAATTGCTGCATTCAAGAGCAAGCCAAGTTTTCGCATTAAGTTAAAATTGTTTCCCCTTTTTCGTGCATTCGAGTAATTTAATCCGCAAAATTTGCTTAAATGTCAGCAACTCCTAAAGAATTAAATATTTTGAGAAACATTCTAAGTCTTGGCTAAGCGGATTATCAAACGGAAGTGTTTCGCAACTAAATGATAAGGTGTCTGAATTAAAGCAAATGTATTAGCAATCCAATCTGACATTGGCTTCGTGATCTCAGAGATTAATTCCTTGGCTACTGTGTGAGTTCATTTCAAGATTTAGAAATATCTTTATTCTGGCTAATTTGTGATCAATAGCTGCAAAGCTATTTTAATTATGCCCCTTGCATACACAGGAAGAAAAAAAGTATATACGGAAATCGTGCTAGATCGTGCGGCAAGCATAATAAAGCCAAGCTCGCCTGGTTTTTTGCTAAGCTTTAATTAAATCAATAAACCATCTAAATAATTTTTAGCAAAATATAAAACCTCAACGGCGGGAGACAGAAAAAAAACAACATTCTATTTATCTATGTATAGCTAAAATATCGCTCTTCGATTAACGATAAAATTAAATCAAAATAAACACGAAAAACTCGAATTTTCAATTAAAGACAAAAATCGTTCTTTGAACAAACAAAAACGCAAGACAATAAAACATAAAAGAGAATAAATAAGATAAGAAAAAAATCAATCTTTAAATATTAATGAACCCCGAGAACCTGAAAGTGAACTTAAATTCTTGAGACACGCAAGCAGATCCTAGAGATTTTGGAGCGCGAGAAATCGAGCGATCTGAAGAGAGTGTTCAATTTATCAAGTATACGACCCGGGTCTCCGATGTTGGCTTAGTTCGAGCTCATCTCTCCGGCGCTTGGCCAAATAAATTAACGAATCCGGCGAAAAAAAAGCAAACTCGTTCCACTCACACACTCACGCACTTTAAGCCAGATCTTTGTGTTGGTTAGGAGCTGCTCTCAAGTACACTGAGCGCGTCTCGAAATTCGATTTTAGTCTTTTTGTGTCGGGTTTTTTTTCGCCTTTTTGTTTCGCGTCTGCCTCTGTTTATATGGCTAAGACCCGATGCGTTCATCTTCAGTTCGTCCACATCGGTCACCACGGTATGAGCTCTAGTTTAGGCTCCTAAAAGTAAATACTAAAAAATCCCACCACTTGTGATCAATGGCAATCCCAGCCTCAAGCAAACTCTACTAATTGCAAGGATAAACAAGACGGAATTTCTGCAAATTCCTATCTCTATAGTGTTAAACTGTGCCCGCCCACGACTAAATTCATCTAAAATAAACCTTTTCTTCTTTTCAAGATTGGAAAAGGGATAACTGAGTTTATTCCATTGGAAAAATAAAAACACCTAATATTTACTGGGGTTTTTTGTGTCAAATAAACCATCAAATTCGTAGCAAAATGACGCGTGCAGCTCTTTGCATGGTAAGTTCAAAAAATAATAATACAAATATTTATTTTTAAGTGAACAGATTTTTTTTCAAATATGCTCTTCGTCTGCAAGGATTGACAGATCATTAAATTTGTGGTTTCAAATTGAAAAACTTTAAAAAAAACAACTAAACTTTTCATTATCAATATCAATTTGTTTTGAGCTATTTCGAATAAATAAATTCCTTTAGATGACCTTTGCCAATTTAAATGTTATTTAATTTCATATTTCGTAATAGTCGAAGTCGGCAATAACATTTAGCACTTTGCTAAAAATTATGTCAAACATGACTTACAAATAAATACGTGAGAAATACGTCTACTCATTTTGTTTGATCGCAAAGTTTAAGTTTAAAGGCTTAGAGCTAAATGCATATAGAATATTTGTTGAGCTCATAACAAATAATTTTGACGGAATTCCTTATTTAACGAGCGTTTACAAGTCCGGGTCAAATTATAACTATTTCGGAACATTTTTTGTTCCGTTTATTTGCCAAAGTATGGGCTCGAAGGCAACTTAGTCGGGGTAATAATAATAATAATAGGCAACCGGCATTTTCTGGGCAAACAAATACAAATACCGGCAATTTCGTAACGATCCGATGCAAACGGAGTTACTTCTGTTTGTTTTACCGCACAACGCAAAAGCAATAGTATTGCCCAGTTTTTATTTGACTGGAATTTTTTTGGTGCTTCTCTCACTTCTGGATTTTATTGTTGTCATTTGAAATCGAATCGATATTCGTAAAGTTTGTTGTTTTTAGTCAGGTTGAAGACGAGTCAACGGACAAAAATGTGGCAGCAGGGAAAAATGCTTAACGTTTTTTGTTGTTTACGAATTTCTGGGTATTTAATTTAGAGAGAGAGAGTTAAATTTAAAATATTGCGGATTTGTTATTGTCTGCAATATGCAAATTCAGTTTTTGTATCATTTGTCAGGTTTTTTGTCGAAGGGAACCACATATAATATGTGCGAAAGTTAAGGTTATATTAAATCATGAGTCAAGGACCCGCTTCATTAGGAAAGACTATCACAAAAGAGTGCTAATTTGATTACGGCCAAAATATTCTTAGATCATTTTTTAGATAATATTCATCCAAAGCTGTTAATTGTTTATGCTTGTGACTGCCTTTTTTTTTCCTTTTTTTTCATTTTACGACCACCTAAATTCCCCGAAGGTGCCATAATGATGCTCTAAGTGAGCTGCGATATAATCTCGATTTGGGGCTAGAAAAATGGTTTCTGTCTCGGTCCCTGTCACCTGCCAAAATACTTCCATCCCTTTGACCCGTTCCCTGTTGCTCATCTGGGGTTAAGCTTTTGGGTTTCGGAATTTATCACCACAGCCTGCGGCTTAAGCCTCTGTTTGGGCCAAGATATTCTGCCAGACACGTACTCGGCAAACAAAAACCGAAAAAAAAAAAGTTGGGGAGAAAATATTGTTAATGCCCAGCGGCAAACGTTGACAGGGCATCTCCTCTTGGCCCACAATTCTTTTTATTACAAATTTGTTCTCAACTTTGGTTGTGCGGAATTTTAAAGAGTGCTCGGAATTTTCTTTGCCGCCTTGTGTAGTGCAATTCGAAGAGATTAAATCGCTCGGTAGGCCAGTTGAGTCATAAAATGGAGTAGCAAAAGTCGAGTTTGGCATGACAAACAGTTGGCTGCTGGCTTATAGGCAATGGAAATAAATTACGGCGTTTATTTGGTTTTAAAATGGAGCGTTAGTCATGTCCAAAGAATAGTGAAGAGTTTTACAGTTATGTAGGAAAAACTGGGTAAATTGGGGGAAATTTAAAAAAATCTGGATCACATCTTGGAAGTGTTTAAAATATTTAAAATAAGTAAGTAAAAACGTAACCTGTGGACAATTTCAATTAATATTGCCAAAAGTATAATATAGTATCAATTCTAATTGATCTATTTTTAGAAAATAAAACGTGGAAATCGAAATGGTTTCCTTGGAAATTTTGTTTAGAATTTTACGGTGTGTTAAAAGAGCCACTGAATTCACATTTCTTCATAAAAATGTGTGCCAAAGATCTCTGTAAAATAGTTGAAGGCCCAAAGAAATACCCGTTAAAAAACTTCTTTAGCTGGACAGACTTCTGCTTAGAACAACCTTACGTAAGAGTTCAAAGAACTTCATGGACTCCCATTCACTTTTATGGCTCATCAGTTTTCCCCTTGACTTTCGATATTTGAGGCCCAAAAGGTATTGTGTCGCATTAATTAATGGTTCTCCTTTTGTTGGCATATTTCTATGGCCAATTTCAATATGGAATCTATATAGAGGGATAGTGATGTGTGTATCTATAATACAAAATCTAGAAATGCAAATTAGGTCTTGATCGCTTGACGGCGATTAGGGGAGACAATCGCCAAAGGCGGCAGCTATGGAGATATATGGAGGCGATGATAGAGGAAGTCTTCGGGCTGGTTTAAGTAAAAACGAAAACGTTATACAAAAAGTATTTATTAAGCTCCAGCCAAATGCCAAAAGTTGAAAGTAAAAGTTTTTATTAAAAAAAAAAATGATGTCACTCGGGATGTTCGAGCGTGCCAAGCCCAACGGTTTATTTTTTAATTGCTTTAATAAATCAGAACAAGTCGAGTAGAAGTTCACTGACAGCCCCAGAGTTAATGAGCTACATTCTGTGGACAAATTCTCAGCTTTGTCTGATATCAAGCTAGCTAATTCATTTGTCTATCGATGCGAACTGAAATCATTAGCACTGTTCTGCTCCCAAAGAATTCTAGATGCGGCGCTAATTAAATTCGAGTCTGGATTAACTGGAAAATCCAAACCGAAAAGGCCATCGCCCACATCTGGTTATACTTGTTTCCCCGATTTAATCGCTCAAATCAAAATGATTTTTTTGTCACCAATGTTGGTCCCAAAGTTTGCCAGGTTCTAAAAACTCTTTTACTACTGGGAAAGATTTTGTTGCCGGGTAGGCTTATTATGGACTTTTGTTAGGCATTTTTATTGTTATGCTTACATCTCCTACTTTATGTAAATTTTTGTTGGGGACTACTTGCATGTTGAAACAAACATTTCACAATTCCCCAAAAGTCTTTCGTAAAGAGAAATTTCACAATTCCCTGCAACCCGAAACTGCATCCCAAAAAAAGTTGTCATCGATTAAGGTCGCCGTCCCACAGTCAGTTGCACTTTGATTCAGTTTATAAAAAAAAATAAATACATATTTTCTTGTTCAATTTATTGGCCGCCGGCAAAAGATCGACCTTGAAAAGTATAAATACTTACACGAAAAAAAAGTTTCGCCTCAACTGCCAAAGGGCAAAAGCAGTCAAGAGACTTGAGCGAAAAGTGTGAGGATGACTAAACCGGTTACTTTTCGGATGGTTATTATGATCGAGATGATTATGATGAAAAAGACGGTGTACACGAAATCATGTAAGCAACAACAGAAACAAGCGTCTTGTGCGTGCGAATAAGTCGATTAATAAATTGTCGGCGGTGAGTTATGCAAAACTTTTCAAGATTCATTGGCTCATCGAGCATACTAGAGGTACCCATAGAACGCTTTGGTTCTCAAGGCGTATCCATGCGTTTTTTGGGTCACAACGTCAGTTGCCACTCGGTTTGCATGATCTATGCGACTTTGAATTGATTTACTGCATTCGCAGCTTGAAACTCGCCTCTTCGCACTTCTTTTATGACCGACGTCTGTCTGCATAATTGTGGCCCACATTTGTTAGTTGCTTTTTGCGTTTAATTGATTGGCAATTGATGTGCGGCTTTGTGCGGCGATCAGCAGCTCAAAAGCGGGCTTGGCTGCCCCTTCACTCAATTTGAGAGCTTAATTATCATGAGCAGAGCAATATAACAAAAATTTTAAAATATTTTTTTTGTTTTAGAAAAGTTATATCCAATTTGTTCCTTTAACCAACTTGATTCGAAGAATCATCCTTATGTTTTTTCAAAAACATTGCTTACCAATTCCAATTGTAAGCCTCTTCACCCCACTCTTAAAGAAAACACATTCATCAACCCGTCACTTTTCCGCCTTGTCAACGAAAACAGTTTTCTTTGACTCTAACTAAAGGAAAACTTCCTGAATATGTTAGTTTCCCATGAGTAAAAGACAAAGTTTTGGACAACAAACGTAATCCACTTCCATAATAAGTCAAAAATCAATAAGGACCGAAAAAAAGTAAAAACTTTTGTAATATTTATCCAGCAGTTTTCCATTGACTTTAACGGCAGGCACGCAATGTGAAATTGGGAAAAAAACGATGAAGAGAAAACACCAATTTTGTTTATGAAAAACTTGCCCTGAGGCGAGGCTATGTGGGTGAGATGAAAACGACCTCCGTTGTCAGCAGCTGCTAGATATCATGGCATAATAAATTAAAAACAAAAATGTATTTTTTATGAACTCCGGAATTTTGTTGGTCATAATTTCTGCATTTATTGATTGGTGGTGGAGATTTTGGAGCAGGCGATTTGGCAACAATTTAAACTTGAAGATATGCCAATCAAAAGACAGTTATCCATCGAGCCACCGATTTGCATTAATGAGATTTCATATTTTTGCCTTTGGAATCTGAATCTCAATCGCCGCGTTTTTGATGGCCGCGATAGGCAAATAAATTGGTTTTATGAGAAATTCATTTGTTTAGTCGCCGCATTTTCGGTTTCCTTCACATGGTTTGGTTTCCACTTTGTTTGCACCCACAAATACGCAAAATTATTGACCTTATCTCAGCTATCGATAGATGGAATCCATGGCGGGTGTTAACCATAAAATGCCATTGTTTCCCATTTAATTGCTTCAATCCCTCTTTAACCTTAAGACAAACACACCCTCGTCGAAGAGATGGAGGCTCAATTTGGGTTTGAACAAATCTATCAAATCATAAACGATTTAATTACTTAGCATAATACGAAGGTCATTTTCCGCACCTGCCTTTTTCTATATATTTTTTTTGGCTACAAATTCAGCGACATATTTTAGAATTATGACTTGATTTATGAATTCCATATTAGGATGTGGCTAAAATACGTTTCGTAAAAGAACTCGTTTTCACAAGGAAGTCTTCTCAATACCGGAACTTGACTTGATTATATTAATTCTATGGGCAATTTATGCAAATCAGTGAACGAAACAATTTCGTAATCTCAGATATTCAGGCAGAGATCTTCGGTCAAAAGATGATCCAACGATTATGTGGGACAGTTGAGAGCTAAAACCTGATGCCATCGGCAATCGATTTGGTGCCTGCCACTCAGAATGCCAGCAAGTGCGTTTAGAACTAAGCTAATTGTCCATTAATGTCAGTGGAAGCCAACTAGTTTTTCTTCGACTGTGACAAATCTTGGGAAATTAGCATGTTCTACCGAATCGAAACCCGGTTCCAGTTTGCTAAAAAGTCCGTCAACATTTGACGAGTGAGCCAAGAATGCGCTGTGATTTAATTATAATGCCTTTGACATTTTGCCAGCAATTTCGGTGAACGGTTTTTAACTTTTTGCTTTGGTTTCGAATCGAACCGGATCTAAATGGCTGCTGATTTGCTTGGGCCTGTTGGAGATACACATAACCGAAAACGAGCTCGTGTTTTTGACTCATCTCTGGCCACAATATGCAAATTAAGCAGTGCCGAGCCAAGACTTAAATCTTTAAAATACTAGCTCGTTGTGGGGGCGTGCTATGAATGGGACAAATCTTTCGACAGCTGTAAGTTTGGTTTATTCGTCGGACAGTTTCATTAATCATTCGCCTTCGTTTTTTCTTTCTTTTTCCAGGCCGTCGCTTGCATTTTTGTGCAATGCGTCTACTCTGCAAAGTTCGATGAACAAAACCGTCGTCTTATTCTCGATATAAACGACCAAAAGACCACGAACCGTCAATACTATTCGTCAAACATTGACACAAGTAAGTGAACCCGTTTTACAATTTTCTATCCGTGTCTATCTAAGCCGCTTGAATCCATTCCAAACATCCGAAAAGTAAAACTAGAAAAACCCCGATCCATTAACTATGTAAAAATCAGTTAATTTTTGTACTGCCCATCCATTATTGATATGCCCCATCCATGCAGTTAGTTAGTCCTTGTTTTTGTTAATTATATACCACTTAAGTAGTTAAATTGACCAACAAATTGTTGCCGTAGTTGTTAGTAGTACCTTAGTCGTAAGTATTTGTATTACCCGTACCACCCCCTTTTGATAGATCAACCAACTTACATTAATTAATCTATACCTCAAATCGAAACAACAACCAATTGTAGTACCCTTCTATATATATTCATTTATATATACCTTCGTAGCAGCTTTACTAAACTCACCCAGTAGAACTCGTAGTATGCGTTGTAGCTATACTCAAATTGTAAATATATACACGCTCAACAATCAATCAACCATTTACCTATATATCTCTCTCTCTTGTTCTATGCTACTATCTCTTTCTCTTACATATAAATATACACTTCTTTCAACAGTTTTATGTAAGCATTGGTTCCTCAGTGGCCAAAGGTTCTACATGAAACTTCTTTAAAAATGCTTCGCATACTCATAACTCTACCTCACCACCTCAAAATTGATTACTCCAACAAAAATCAGATAAAAAGATTTAAAAAAAAAACCAAACCAACAACAGCACACAACAAACACCAACATTTTCTATTTAAAAATATCATCTGATTAGGTAATTTGTGAAACTTTCAGTTACAGCGCCCTTTAAGAGATGTTAGATCACAGTCAGTTAGTCGAGAGTCTTAGGGTTATATAAACACACCATTTACAGGTCCTCACAGCACTCCAAAAAATACAAGCAAAACACACCAAATCACACCAAAAATACCAGTTATACTCTAAACATTACTCTTCCAAACCAAACAAAACCCCAAACCAAAAACCAACCCAAATCGACACGAAATTGAACACCCAAAAGATGCCTATCGATATGGCTACGATGTCGGCAAGACCGGCAACTTCCATCACGAGACCCGAGGTCCCGATGGAGTTACCTACGGTTGCTACGGTCTGATCGACCCCTACCACCTGCTCCGGGCAACACACTACGTGGCCGATGCCCACGGTTACAGGACTGTGGAGCCGCAGAAGCCCGTGGAGACATTCCCGCCACATCTGTACAAGGAGACCGACGGTGGTCCTTCGGAGCCGGGTATCCTGCTGCAGTGGGAGGAACTGTACTTCCCCATCGGATGCGGAAAGTTTGCGAATGGCGCCCAACACGGCGTGCCGTTCTTCCTCGAAGATGTAAGGTTACAAGGGATTTCCCTGGGCGGTCCCTGGTCATTTCCAAGAACTAGACTTCCTGAAAGGCAATTGGTCATTGCATGCATTATAAAGATAACTAGAGCCTTGCCTTTTGGGTAAATCCATTCTGGGACATGATCAGGAACGCCGATGGAACCTCTTCTAACCGGCCATACAAATATTCTAGTTCAAGACCAAGGGAAATGGCAACGATGCGATACCATCGTTCTCCTCAAACTCACTTGTGATCAAGGGCTCCGACCAGAAGAGTCTGCCCATCCACAAGCCCACCGGTCCTCTGGTGCCACAGGGCACGGGGATCTTCGGCACCGACAAGGGTCACTCGGATCTCAGCCATCCCGGCGATCAGGCACCGTCCTTCCATTCGGTGAACACCCTGCTACCGGGCAGCAACAGTGAGCAATGAGCTATAGCCGGGTCTACGGATCGGAAACTGCAACGTTTGTGTCCTTCTAGATGATGGCCAGTACGTGCCGGACACAAATCCCTATGTACATGTGATTGGACCCAATGGCGGAAGCGGAGGCAGCGGCACCGGCGGCGGATTCGGTGGAAACGGAGGATTTGGAGGCGTTGGCGGTTTCGGACCCAATGGACCGGGTGGTCCCAACGGACCGAAGGGACCGAACGGACCTCCTGGACCACCGGGACCACCCGGCGGCTTGGGTCCGATCGGCGCGGGAGGAGGAGCCTCAGGAAAACCGGTCTACAAGGATGGCGATCGCACTGGCCTCGGCAGCGGTTCCGGAATCGGGTCCGGTGATCGCATTTCCACCGGAAACGGTGGCGCTGTCGGTTCCGGCGATCGTTACATCACCGGAAACGGTGGTGGAAGTGGCGCCGGCGGTCGCTATACCACCGGAAACGGTGGCGGCGTCGGCGGTGGCGATCGCACGGGAACTGGCAGCGGTTTCGGAATCGCGGCCGGTGGTCAGTACCGCCCGGGAAATGAGGGAACCTACACCAGCACCTACACGCACACAGAGACCGGTTTTCCTGGGGCCATTGCATATCATCCAGGTTAGCCCTCCAACGATTTTCTACGCATGGAGAGCAAAATTTGAACGAGCTGCGGATGGAGCGGATTGAATGTATCACCTATTAAATGTTACCCAATGACAAAAGGTTACAAGAAGACATTGACATTTTCCTCATATTAATGCGCGATCAGTTCGTTCAAATTTTTCTCTTCAAGGCTTTTAGTTTGTAAGCGATTGCTAAATTATCCCTATGTCTAATTTACAATAATTTACTTAAATCTTAAACTATTTTAAGGACTTTTCGTTTATTTTCAGCCGTGAAACAATGATTTCGCAACCAATTTCAATATTTTCTATAATTTTATTTTGCAATTTCCCAAAAGAACATACACACACATATAAGTCAGGCCAGGCTAGGGCACGTTTTTGATTTTTAGTTATCCTTTATCAGAGCACCTCCCCCAAGAGCGCACAATCCCAATCTATATAAATATATATATACCTATACCTCACTTTCTATCCCTTCTGCACAAAAAAGTTATCGAATGAAAAGAAAAGAAAAGCAATTTGATCACAAATTCTGTTTCTCAGCATGTTCATTTGGCTGAGATCCGATCACAGTTATATCACCCATGCTTGCACCGATTTTTCAGTTCAACACCCACCTACACACACAAATACACCCACACAAACTACACCCACGCACACACAAAAACACACATTTATAGTAAAATAATTACACGGCACATGAAAAAGTGAAAAACGCTTGAGCAATGACTATTAATCAACTCTACAATTGCAACTAACAATTAATATCTGTGATTTATTTTAGTTTGGTTTTCGGTATTCCTGATCCCCCAACTAATCCCATATTTTAATACTAATTCCATTATACTTGTTTGCTTTGTTGTTATGATTTTTGTTGTTCTTTGGTGTTGGCCTAGACCGTTTAGCATGTAACTTAATGTAATTATGTAGACCAGTTTTAGATAATCCATTGTTGTAGTTTATATACTTTGTAATATAGTTACTAGTAGCTAGTTAGCTAGTATCTGTAACTGTAGTTAAATCGAGAGCATGTAGAAAGTCCACTTTTTACTGCACAGTTTCTAATCGAATTATTTTTATGATCTTAAAATCCAATCTCTAGATAACGGTAAATATAACGGCAACGGCGGACAATATAACGGTGAGTTTTAAAAAAAACCATTAAACGAGGAGAGCAAATACTTATGTTTATGTGACTTTCGTCAACAGGTATTAACGATGGTCGGTATTATCACGATGATTCGGGTAAATATGTTCACGTTGAAGGCCCAACTGGTCCCCCAGCACCCCCATATGTCCACATTGTTGGACCCGAAGGCGGATACGGAGGAAACGGCGGCAACGGAGACGGCGGCGGCGTAGGCCCCGGCGGCCCAGGCGGACCTAAAGGACCCGGCGGTAGAATCCTTGATTGATTTTTGCCTTTAATGCATTTGTATAATAATTTCGTAACACCATATAGGCCCCAAGGGACCCAACGGACCTCCCGGACCTCCCGGCCCACCCGGACCACCTGGTAAGTCTTTGTAGAAGCGCCCTATAGCCGCCCCATTTAAAAACCGGTATCCTTGTTATGTAGGACCACCCGGACCTAAGGGACCCACTAAGCCCGGCCCATTCGGACCCCCAGGCCCACCCGGTAAGCATTAGACAATTGCCTTGTAGGTTGTCCATTTAACAACTTTAATTTTAATAACTCAGGACCACCCGGACCCACTCGTCCTGGACCTTATGGACCTCCCGGCCCACCCGGCCCAACTCGTCCCGGCCCACCAGGTGAGACACCTATAAAGCAATACTACCATAGTACGAAACTGAAAACACAATAATTACAGGACCTGCTCCCAACGATCCCCGTTACTCGGACAAGGAAACTCCTGGCTACCTGCCACCAAACCAACCGGGTAAAATCTCGATACCACCACACTCACAAGTCATTAAAATTGAAACACCCACCAAGCCAGTTTTTAAGCCGAATTACGAACACAACAATGATTATGCTATTAAGAAAGAACCTGTAACGACAAAGCCACCACTAACCTATATTCCTCCTTCTTTCCCAATCACTCCAAAACCCTATGTTCCCGTACCCGTTCCCGTTCCCGTACCTCAACTACCGCCATCCCAAAAAATAACGACGACGATCGTACAGCCAAAGGTCCCGGCTATCACTATTGAGAAGGATAAGCCACATAAGAGCGTTACTTCACCGCCAGTGACAACGGGTAATATTGAAAACCACACGTACTTACCGCCACCACCGCCGACTCCGAAATACGTGACCAAGACCCCGATTAAGACTCCGACTCCGACTCCTACCCCGATTCCGATCTACGAACCCTCGACACCGCGACCTTTCGAAAAGGTGGTGACCTCACCGCCGCAAATCCAATACCATACGCCACAGGTGCCCACCGTGGTGGTGCCAAACAAACCCGTGACCGTTCCGTACAAACCCGTGACCGTTCCTTACAAACCCGTGACCAGACCTCCACCAATTTACGTTGAGCCGAAAGTAACGCCACGTCCCTCTCCACCTTTGCATGTGCCATCGATCAGCGAGTCCTGTGTATGTAACGCCGATAAGACGCACTCATCGAAAAGCACCCTTACCTCAACCACAACCACAACCACCACGAACTCCTATCCCAATCCCGCCTCCGTTGACTTTAACAAACAATTTTCCGGCTTCAATGGACAAGCAAACTTCGGCAGCATAATAAACGCCATGTCACTGACCCAACTGCCGGTGATACCCCAAGCACCCGGACAGCCGGCCTTCTATCCGCCGGACAAGATCCCCAAGGGCGCTGTCATTGCCCTGATGCCCGTGGTGATCCTGCCGCAGGAGTACTATTCCAACTGCGATGAGAATTCCATTAACCAACACTCGAACATCGATCCCTTCCCGCTGGGCGTTCAACCCTCCTTTAGCCTTCACTCGGTGCTGACTGGTTCGGCGCCCAAGGATCAGTGCATGTGCCCGTGCTCGTGCACCCAGAACCTGCCGGGAAGATTACACAAGAAGCGCGAGGCCAGCGATGCTGAGGCCCCTGCGGAGGTCAAGGTGGCTTCTGCCTCCGAGGAGGTTAAGGTACAGGTCGAACCCGTAGCCTCTCCCTCCGCGGAGGTGAAGGTCCTGGTCGATCCCGTCCCAGCCGCCTCTGAAGAGTCCAAGGCCAAGGTCGAACCAGTCGCCACCGTTCCCGAGGAGGTTAAGGCCGAGGTTGAGCCCAAGCCAGCCGCCTCCGAAGAGGTTAAGGTAAAGGCTGAACCCATTCCAGCTGCCTCCGCAGAAGTCAAAGTAAAGGTTGAACCCGAAGAAGAGAAAATCCTGCCTGACCCCAAACCCGAGATCAAAGCGACTAGCGAGACGAACTAAGATAAGGACAAGAGAACCACCCAAAATCCCTCCCCAGATCCCGCTTTAATCCCATCCCAACCTCGATCCTACCTCCCCAAGAAAAAAAAAACAACAACTAAACCTAGTCTAAGTGTTTTTAGTGTCTGCCAGGCAGGACCAACCAGCATTTAAGAAGGGTAAATCGAATGGAGAGCCCAGTTAATGTGTTCGCTTTCTTGTGTGTTATTCGAATTCTACGATACGATTTGGTATATTCAGCAGTTTTGGTAAATGCACTCCAGACCGCCTGTCCACGAAGAGTTTCGGAGCTCTCTATGTAATATCTCCTTAAAAACTATAAAAACTATTTGTAATCTAAATGTTTCCTCTGAGAGAGCACCGAGAATTGGCAAAAAAGGAGAAAATTGTTCTGTGACATGTTGTTTATTATGCATTTGTGTATGCTTTTTATTTCTTTATGATTTTGTTCAGTTTTATTTCTTTATGATTTTGTATCGACTTTAGTTCTTAGTTTATTTAATGTCTACTCTAATAATGATTGAGACGGAATATTGAATTGTTATATCAAAAGAGAAATATTGAAATTAAATAAAAATTAAGAAAAAATGCATCTTGGCTTTATTATTCAGGGGGAAATTTGAAGAGGATTGGATGTTTATGCTTTGATTAAGCTGGAAAAAGAAAACGTGGAAAATGAGCACCAATTATATAATATATTTGGTGGAATCGAAGCTTTGGTTTCCTGGTGTTTTCTTTATCTTAAATTAGCAGCAATTGTCAATAATAAAGTTCCTGGATACCACAAAGGTTTTGTCAAAAGAAAAAATTATTACCCATGGACCAATCGATTGATTTACTACCACATCGTTTTCAAACAAGATTTTCCTTTGAATTCAAAATGAAAGACTTTTGAAATGCTAGCTACTTACGACCCTGTTCCGGAATGTATTGCATACCCAAAGGGCATTTTCGTTTTTTACATAAAAACATCCAATTAAGGTAAATTTTTGTAATAAGGTAGGAATTTGGTAGGTTGGCGCCACCACATTATATTGTTTATCTAATGTACTGCTTAGCAGTGATGCCTAAAAGTATGCTGTCACTAGTGAAACCGAATACCTCTCTTTATGGCCAATAGTTATGTAGTTAACTAAATTCAAATATTTCGACACATATTACCTCAAAATATTTTTTAGCATATTTTGATTCTATTCTAATATTAATTTTTGAAAAACAAAAACTATAATTATTAAATAGATATTAATTGTTGTATTATATGAACTAGGCCAACGCTCAAAATTAAACCTATTTTTATACCCGTTACTCGTAGAGTAAAAGGGTATATTGTATTCGTGCAAAAGTATGTAACAGCTAGAAGGAAGCGTTTCCGACCCTATAAAGTATATATATTCTTGTTCAGGATCACTAGCCGAGTCGATCTAGCCATGTCCGTCTGTCCGTCTGTCTGTCCGTCTGTCCGTCTGTCTGTCCGTATGAAGGCTGAGATCTCGGAAACTATAAAAGCTAGAAGACTGGCATTTTGCATGTAGATTTTAGAAGTTCCTACGCAGCGCAAGTTTGTTTCAAAATGGTGACACGCCCCCTTTAACGCCCACAATCGCTTATATACGATTTAAAAAATTTAAATATTTCGGAAAAGTAAAAATGCAGTTTTATTGTGTTTATCAATACCTATCGAAATGTAGAAGAAATTTTTCAAATCGGACCATTCGTTAAAAAGTTATGCGTGATCAAAGTTTCTATCTCCATCTCCCTCGCACTCCCTTTACCTGAGTAACGGGTATCTGATAGTCGGGGCACCCGACTATAGCGTTCTCTCTTGTTTATTTTATTATTTTTGGAAACCAATCGATTTCAACCTAAAGATTACGTTACTTTAAGAAATATCTTTGGAATTGGATCACACTTAAACTGAATTTACCAAAAACAAAACCTAATGGCATACCTAAGTCGCCAATTATGCAAAAATCAAGATTTACCCTCAGACAAAACAAGTTAAAGAATCCAATTTAGGAAATTACTTGTTATAAAAAATAAGTGAAAATGATGTTTATAATGACTTGTGTAACCTCAATCATCGACGCTTGGCATCAACTAAGGGGTATTCGGGGTATACAACCTCAACCTTAACCTAAATATTAAATAAATGTAAAGTGAAAATACGACTTGAAGTAAATTATCTTTTAAGAATTGAATATCAATTTTTTTCGGTTTTCTGTAAGATTTCCCAATTTCGAGGGTTTATTGCCGTCGACTCCTTCTAATTAGATTTATCTGACGCTCTTTGTGCGTGAAGTGGCTGTCGGCATAAAATATCTGCCAACCAAATATGTGTAAGGCTTCTTTTTCCCTCGTTTAGAGTGGTATTTAATGCATGAACAAGCTGGCTCCTTGGAAAAGACCCTGAAATCAATAGTCGAACAAAAACATGGAGTGAAGCCCAAGTGAAATGGAGACTTTTGTTTATTTTTTGTTATTCGGCTGTCTTGCTTCTTTGTTGTTAGAAAAAAATACCTTTAAGGTTGGAAGGCTTGGCAAAATATTTCCTTAAGCTCAAGGGTAACAAAGCGCAGTCATTTTATTAGCATTTATGAAATTACAAAGTGGTGAATTTTCTTCAGAAGACAGAAATTAAATAAAACTTATTTTGACACGTGCATCTTTTTGCCAGAATATTGAATATTAAATTTCAGTCGAGATGAGTTGCAACCATCTTACCTTGGCCCAATGTGTAACCCAGTTTTGGAATCAATTTTACGACCATGTTAGATAAATAGCTAAAGAGTTGCAATACCCGCATGTCGCAAAATACCCGATACTTTTCACACATTGTATCTTTAACTTTAGCTGTGAACTCTTCAGTTGTTTTAGGGCTCAGATAGAGGTCAAAATTCGGGTAAATACAAATACCTATATTGAGATAATTTCCAAGCTTTCTAGCCGGCGTCGGAACTCGAGTTTTATGAATGAGTTTACAACTTTTCAAGGCCTTTAGTATTATGAAATACTTAAGTTCTGTGTGTGGCACGATAACTGGCCATTATGCAAGAGTGTAGCACAAAAAAGTTCACACAACAAAGCGAAAAAGTCAAATAAGTTCAATATTTGGACAGCAAACTCTCTGTGGATAATTGGAATTAAAGATATACTAAACAAGCACGACCTGACTCGCCGCTCTTGGTATTCTCATTCAGTGCGGGATGGCGGTGAAACTTGAAAGAAATGCGATCTGTGAACTAAGGGTAAATATTCAATGGTTTGCCGGGACGGGGCTTTTCTCCGTTTTTTGTTTTTTTTTTCAGCTTTGCTATTTGTGTTTGTTAAAGTTTTGCAAAGACAAATAGCTAAAATTAAACGCGACTCACGCACTGGCAAGATGGGGCATTTATTTTGTCACCTGCCTCGTGTAATTGAGAATATTACTCGTATTATTAATAATAATACATAATCACAATCACAATGGCAGAAAAGGTCTCGCTCTTTAGAACTCTTTAGGGCTGGATAGCAGCTAGAGGCGCCCATTTCCCACCTGTTGAACTGAAGTTTCGCTTTGGCCACACCAACGTGTCGTATGAGTAATAAAACCAAGCTTGGCGTCCACGTGAGATACAAAAGTGCGACAAGTGCGAGAGTTGGGGGCTTTGTTTTGTTTCTGTTTCTGTTTTTGTTTCGGCTTGTTTGTCTCGACGACGTCGACAGCGGCTTCAACTTGAGCGTAGCAACTCAGCCGGAAAATGAAAAATATAAATTGGCCCCGTGTCTGAGAAACAGAATTATTTAACGTCCAACAACCGGGCCAAGCAGTTGTCTTGGTTTCCAAAGCTCTTCTTACGGAAAGTTTATTCACTGTATTCTGATTGTTATAACGTTTTAAAAATAGTAAAAAAAGAGACATGTTCAGCCAGCTATTTACGCTAATGGTGAGTGCCCTGGGCGATATCTAATTTGAGTTCAGTCCTTAAAACAAAAGCCCATAAAACCGTATTTTCAGTTGGTCGTAACTGGAGTCTGGAGTGCCGCCCTTCTCGAAAATCAGGTGGAAACAGAGGCCAGGACGTCAAAAGGTGATTTGGCCACCGCCGAGACTTCAGCCAAATGTGAGTACAGAGGAAAGAATAATTTCAGTAAAGCATTTAATTGTTCTCATTAAAAATATTATAAATACAAGATGTATTTTAAATTGTTCTAAAACGAAAAAGTGTGTGTGTAATTAATTTGTTTCTAAAGGAAAAAAATATTTAACCATCATTCAAATACATTTGTAATCAAAAATCGTTTTGACATTATTATTTTAAAAGCTTTTCAACTCATATGTCCTGCAAAATATAATGAGATTTTAAAAACATTAAAAAGTTTACCTAAACTCAATAATTTTCCGATTTTATTACCATTTATGGGTATTTAATTTATCTATTAATATAATTATTTTTTCAATAATGTAAATAACCATTAAAACCATTAATCTAAAGGTTCTTAAATTATAATGTTCAACAGCCTTTGTTTTGTTATAAATTAAAATATTTATATTAATCTTAATATTTCTTTCTAATATTTTAAGTCTTGTTAAAATGATGTACAACTAATTTATTTTCTCTGCTTAACCAAAAACCCTCACAATTTCAGTGTTAAATCTTTTTGGAACTGGCTCTGGGTATCCCAACTATGGCTATAACTACAATCGGCCGACGAACGGCTATTATCCCGGCTATAACACGAACTATTACAGCTCATCGTCGGGCTATTATCCGAGCTCTGGCTACGGTTCTGCATCCTACTATCCCAACCAGGGGGGCTATGGGTCATCCAACTACTATCCAAGCCAGGGCTATGGCTCTGTCAACTATTATCCCACCAGCAGTTATCCCACCACGAACATTCTGGGATCCCAAGGAGGAGGATATGGCGGCTATGGGGGATACGGAGGTAATGGCGGTTTGAGGCAATATTCGGGATATTGGCAGCGGGATTACCAGGGTCAGCGGAATCGCGGTTACGGCTACTACGATGATACAGATCGCTTTGGCCTGCCGTATTCCCGAGATCGAGCCTCTAATTTTTATCGTGGCTATAACTAAGTATCTGCTTTTATTTGTGTCCCATGTTATTGCATTTTTGTTACCGCTTTTCCCCTCCCGCTCCTGACTAATAATAAAACCAAAATGTATCTCAAATGCTACTAATTCAATGTGTAAGTTGTCGCTTTAGCTTGGCGCGTAATTAATTTGCTTCTAGGTTACATTTCCATGAGGCATTCAAATTACCTGCGGACACGCCCAATTGCACACTAAAATTTGCCCATTTGTCATTCGTTCATATTCATGCTCTCAGTGCTGGTAAAAATGTGTCTTATTGTCTGATCGTGTGCCTTAATTAAACGCATTTTTGAAGCTTCAACCCAAAAGTTGGCTATAAATTGTTTGTCAATCACCTCGCGTTGCCAACTTTCTGACTTGTTTTACCCGCTCTCTTCATTTGCAGGCTATGTGCGCACCACTTTTGGCTAAAAACAGTCGAGTGCGAAGACCGCCAAGAACTTAACCAAATGTTACGCTCCGGCACGCATCAAAATCAAGACACAAAAAGATCGTAAAACTTATATAAGCAATTTATTAGGAAACACATCTCCGAAGGCGAACTAACCTCGTAGCCGGAATATTTGGCCAGCCACTTTAACTGCACCGACGCACACATCTCTTCAAGTTTTTGCGGGGAAACGAAGTTTGTGCAGCATCTTGACTACTAAGTCTTAAATTTTAAGTAAAATAATGTTTATGTTTTCCCCTTTGCCCCTTTGCAAGCTCGTAAATGCAGAGGAGCAAACTTTTCGTTGGAATTTTCCCGGGGAAATTGCCCGAGTCCCTCTGCCAGTTGAGCATGTGCTGAGAGCAATTTGTGATAAGCTAATAGATTTCCCTTGTTAAATAAAACAATATTTTCCAACAAATTTATGTGGGGCCACAAGAAAATTAATTAAGGCAAATGGAGCTGATTAAACTGCCAAGTTTAAATATAAAACTAAAGAAGTTTTTATACTGGAGAAATGTTGGTCATGATTTTACTAACTTAAAGTCAACACAACTTTAAAAGGAAACACATTCCAATAGAAACATCTGCCTGAGAACTAAGGAAACCAAGTTCAAAAAGAATAATTCAGAATTTCTCAACAACAAATAGACTTTCTCGTTTCAAGCAAAATACAATTTTTGCAAACCTAATGGTAATAAAAAGGGTAATCAAATGGAATTCCGTTATTGAAAAGGCAACAAACAGAAGTAAAATGTACATCTGGATTTCTTGAATTCTTTTAAACATAAACAAACATAAATGACAAAAATTCAAAAAATCATTACTCATACTGGGGATTTTTCCATTCATGCAATCTGTGATTTTTAATCTATTTGCTCATTCATTTGTCTCTTTGGCTGGTTCCATTGAATGCGCATCTACCTTCCGTGCAGCCATAAAATAAAAACAATACCGGCAGCCAAGAACCATAGATACAAGATACAGACACATAACTCGATGTGTAAATACGAAGAGTACGAGCATTTCATATGGAATTTTTCTTTAATTTATCGCCAAATTGTTTAGGATAGGTACAGGCATAAAAACCGAATTCCCAGGTCATTATGGAACACAAGTTATGATCAAATGGAATTGAGAGAATACGTTTCTTTGTTTTGTTTTTTTGTTTTGGTCTTCATTAATTCAACACTGTTTATTATTGCTTTGTATCATGTGTTATGGTCTGCATTAAAAGCAAATAGAAATAATTAAGCGACGCAAACTACAATAAATAAAAATACAGAAAACAGATAAAAATATCTCGCCCGAGCGGGAAATGGATATTTATTTGGCGAGCGGATTAAATGCCGCATCAGGCGTTGAAATCTAATGTTAACAACATTTTAATTAACGAACCAGCAGCGCGAGAGACAATAGCAACGCCAACAAATAATGCAAAAATTATTGCATATAATTGCTGGATATTGGATAAATGAGCACCGCGTCAGTTTGTTCAGCACAAATATTTGCCTGGCATATATACCACCATGCGACGCAAAAGGAAAAACAAAAGGAAAACAAGAAGAGTTCAATAAATACACGAATAAAATTGCAATTTCTGTAAACGTTGCTTACCCCATTGCCGCAATTCCCAAGCTCAATATTAAATGGTGAAAGAAACTAAAGAAAGTCAAAGGAAACCTTCAAGTGGAATCAAAGGAAAAGGGTCGAGTTGAGAACTGCTTACAGAAATTATTATATAATTTAAAGATTTCATCGAGTAGTCTGTAGGAAATGGTCTTCGCAAAGAGCTAGTTTTCGTCACGTTCTTATCAGTCCGGGAAAAGTCTTACTTTTCCCTTCAGTTGGTTGCGGAAAATGGCGCAACTTTTATATGTCAGTTCATAATTTGCCACAGCTGCTGCTTAAAACCAAAACTAAGACGAAGAGTGGTAATTGCTTGGACAAACTTGCACAGAAACTCAGACAACGTGTGAAGGTGGCAGAAAATCAAGGAAAACTATTCCAAATTACACATTTTTAGGGTAAGCAAAACATCTTTTCTTTCTTATTATGTTGTTCAATAAAAAACTTTTACCAACGAAAATAGCACCTAATATGATTTCAATGAACCCTTTCTCAGACCTATCAAAAACAGGAAAGAAATTAAATTGGCTGAATTTAACGTGTTAGTAAATAATAGACAGCAGTTGACCCTTTTGAAGGAATTATTCATATGAAAAAGGGTGAAAGGTCGTTTCTTAAATGTTGTATAATGCCATGGGTCAGCTTCAGTCTCGCATCTGTAGTTTGAATAGGGTTGAAATCCACTTGCTTAGCAGAATTATTTAATAATTGGGTTTGCAAAAATAAGATCGAAAATACCTTAAGCCATGCAAAATTAACAGCTTTTCGATGCCAATAAAAGGGAATCTTGTGTAATTTTTGCTTAAATCTTGACGTACAGTTCCACCAACAAAATGGACACTTTTATGTCGCCATGTCAGACCGTGCTAATGAACAATTAAATGCTTTTTTTCTGGGCGTTTCACAGCGGTTGCTCCAAATTATCTATAGTATATTAAAAAACTCGCTTTCGTCGGATTTGTTTGCTTAGATCGTGGATTTTCGGCTAATTTTATATAGACCGCGCCGTCTTTTGTGTTTTTTATTCTAAAAGCGAGTTCATTATATGGCATGCTTAACCAATTAGCACCTGAACAGGCGCCACGTGCTTCAGTTATTATACCAAAAAGGTGTAAGGGGCGTTTAGCCGAAAGTCCAAAGATCACAGAACTCGGCATTGAACTTAAAGGGTTGAGTGGGAAAACAGGGAAAGTTAATTTAGCTGACTGATTACACGAAAACCCAAACATAAATTGTATCTGCAAAACACAGAGCAAACAAATGCAATCCCTTTCCCAATGATAAATTTAGCACGTGCCGTCGGAAGGAAGCCAGACTATAAATGATTCAAAATCATTATCATATCGCACTTTGTTTTGTTTGTGTTTTCCATTAACAGAAAACAAGAGGAATAGAAAGAGGGAGATCGATAAACGCGATGTGAGCGAGAGGGAAAATCGCCGCTGGTGCTATTAATTTAAGCTATGTAATTTATTACAGATAAATCAAAACAAATCGCTTGTTAACATTTGCCGTTTGCATCGAACTGGAATTTATGCATAAATGCATTTAATTACATGCATAAAAAAACGTGCCCCGAACAAGAAATCGATGATTGGTGGATTTAATGGGGAATCCGAAATGGATAAACCTCAATTTTGGCATTCTTATTCACTCGATTTCAGGAAGAGGAGGCCATAAAAAGCACACTTCACAAGGCAAATAATCAAAGAGCTAACCAAAGCCAGACAGGTAAATCAATCAATTTGCAGCTGTGTACCCATAAAAAAATAAGGAAAATGCGCTATATACTTATTTATATTGGGTTTCGATGATACTTGACGATGCCAAATGAAAATGCTTGCCTGCGAGACATTTAAACTTCGTCGGTGGGCATTTCGCAAAGTCTTCAGTCGGTAAAGTAAGCTAAAATAAAGTAAGGTAATAATTAAATTAATTTAAACAATTAACAGAGTTCGGGCTAAGCAAGATCTGTTGGTTCAAGTCGGTTTGCGAGTTGAGGCAAAGGCAAACTTTTGTGGTCCCGATGATAATGCGAATTTAGTTAAATTAGTTTGTATTTAATTCAATTCGCATACGAGCTCTAATGGAGGCCATGATGCCAGCGACTCGAAATCTGTTCGAATAACAATCTTAAGTATGTGTGCCACTTGGCCGCCGTGGGATACGACTTCAATGTAAGAATTTCCCCCGAACTACACAATTTTAAACCATTTTATGCCGATAATTGGCGAGGCAACTTCTGTGCCAGCAAATTGATTGAATGCGATGTTTAATCAAACTCGTGTCGAATTGCAAATCCATTTGAAGTAATTGAATGGCAATTTAATTGATTACAGCTCACTGGGGAATAAAATTTGTTTGTGAACTGAAAACGCTGTGTGAATGTAAATGGAAATTTATGATAGTGTGCAGTCTATGCAAATTTATTTTATTTCACTTCACTTATTATAGTTTAGTATTGGCCCATTAAACCAGTATGGCTCTTTGTAAGGCATCTTCATTATTTATTTAACTTAAAATCCCATTTTGCCTCTGCCACTGGTTTTCTGATTTTTCGGACTTTGCTCAGTCTTCATTTTCGTCTGCAAAACTCATTGGCTTCAGGCCTTTCAATCTTTCTGTGATGCAATCCCTGCTCGTTTGGAAACCCAAAGATGGGTCATTGATGGACGTTGTCTTGCATGTGTCTGCCTTGATTCCTTTTTGTTCCCAAATTCAATTTGGCAAGCTTTAAGGCTGACACGAGGCACTGTGCTACGTAAATTTACAGACATGTAACAGACATTTCAGCCAATCTAGTACAGGATTTAAGGGTAACAAGTACTTTCAAAAAAAAAAAAGTAGATAAAGTCATATGGTCTTTAATGGCACATATACCTTTAAAATATAAGTAAACGTAAATCACAAAATTGATCAATATTCAAAAGCAGTGCAAATATATATACCCACAAAATAAGCAAAGCTTTTTAAAAGTGCCATATAAGACAAAAAAAAATCAGATTTATTAAAGGCAGTAAATTATTTTTATGGAATAGGAATATCAAAAATTCATTGACGTATTTGTTATTCCCCCCAGGTCTTCGATGTCGAAATGTTTAACGCCCTAAATTAAATTCAAGAAATCCTACTTCTATAAACTTCATTTCATCAGCAGGTTTACAGAATAAGAACTAAAATAGCCAAATTCACTTCTGCAAAAAAACTTTCCTAGATGTAATTGTAATTGTTTAGTCTGCCCCCAAACTCCTAGATAAATTAGGCCTTTAATGCCAAGTAGTTGGCTTAACAATTACAAACAAGGGTGTCTGTCTGGGGCAGATAAAATCAGTGGGCGCGGAAAACTCCACTAGAAGCCGACTTAATACAGTACTAAATGGTAATTGCTAATTCAACAGAACGCAGACATTGAAACTTTCACTTATCTGTATCAATTTTGCTGAGGGGGAGGCAATAAAATTGTTTTTGGGTGGGTGGCAGCAATAATCAGTAAACAAATATTCGAGTAGATACGTCGAGACACGCCCAGACTCCCAGTTGAATTGGTGTTGGATTTTTTTTATTGATTTATATTAACAACACCACGAAAACAAGGTAAATTGATTAAGATTTCTTGTGGGGCTGCACCTGAGTTTTGCCCGTGTCATCTGCACCCCGTTCCGCCCACTCTGACGTATGCGTAATTCTACGAGATAAAAGAAATACTTTTGGGGGCTGTGCTTGTCTGTGTGCGTGTGCGCCTGCCCCTCTTTGTATCTGTGTGGGAATCAATAGAAGCCGGCACGCAAAGAAAAAAATTAACAGGCTGCCGAGTTTCCAGTTGCCATCAGTTGGCTCCGTGAGCTTTTATCGTGCGGTTGTGGCTCGCGATCAAAACTGAATCAAAATAAAGAAAACCATATATTCGCGCAAATTTGTTAGCAATACGCTACTAAATTCAAACAATAAATTATATTCCGAACAGAAATACTGTTGAAACATTTAAGCCATAATTAAAAACCATTCGATAGTGTGTTTATCTAAAAGTATATTTAAACATAGATACAGTACTCTATTTATTTGCCTGCTGATTATGGCCGTAAAACAAATGACCGCGGAGTCAATAGGAAAATAACCAGAAAGCTAATTGCATTAAACAGTGGAAAACAGTCAGCAAATGAGTATTAATTAATTTATTGAAAAAAAAAAAACGCATTTTAATTCATCAAAAAAGTAATTTATTTTTGTGGGGTAAGTTGAGTATGACATGCACATCAAATGGTTTTCCGTTCTTTGAAAAATGGTTAAAAATGCATTATCATTACAATTAAGAGCATTAAACTGCCCACTTTATAGGCATATTAAATAGTTAACCAACGGGGCGAGGGGTGAGTAACTCATTCGATCTGAGTTCTCGCATCAATAAACAAATAAAAAATCTATTAAAACCACATACACTCGGTTGATTTGTTTGGCAATTGAGCAATTTAAATGTTCTCCCAGTCGGCTAGTAAATTTTTGTTGTCCGCGAAATTTATCAATGAAATTTTAGCATCCAATAGACTGACATCACGTGGGACAATAAAAGAGCATAGAATATAAAGTGTGTTGTTTACTTGCGATAGTCAAACACTTTGCTTGGAAATTTTCTGCTACGGTTGGCTCACCTGTAGAAGTTCAATTACGCACGAGAAACGCTTCAATATTTATAAACAAGTGAAAAGAGAAAATCTTAATTGAGTATACAATTTCCCAGCACTTGATAGACACTAAGTAAAACATTTTCATTCGTAATGCAGATGCAATCCTTTTTCTGTTCGTAATGGTTGTACTCGTCATTGGGTATTTCAAATGTCAGATAACAAAATGTGAAGTCAGCTTCTGTAAGCCGTATTTTCTTGTTCCTCAATTGTCCAGCAGCTGGGAAAACTCTTTCGTTATATTCCGAAACCCCTTTTCTTCTCAGGACACATTACTTATTACACTTTGTTGCCATGGCCAGAGAATTTCAATTAGAGGTGACGGGAGGTTATTACAGGTGCGACAAACGCTGCCTTGGCAAGGAAATTAACAAAAGACAAAGGAAAAAGGAAAAAGCACATAATAAACAGAATAACAACCTTCTTGAAGAGAGTACTTCTGTCTTTTGAACTTAGTAGACCGTTAAAATAATAAAGAACTTTAAGAAGGTCGCTGGAGTTTCACAGCAATTTGTTGTATGTTGTTTTAAGCAGAGAAATAAACATGAAATATCCAAAATTGCATGTGAGAAAACACAGTGAACAAATGGCTTTTTCCTGTTCTGTTTTGGTTGCTGCTTGTAAAAGTAAACAAAATGAAGACATATGGCTAACTCTTCTACTTGCTAACCTGCCCCAAAAACTCATCCTTTGCTTTGGTTGGTATTTAACCCTTTGGAATTTAACTTCTAATTGCTAAGCCACTAATTACTAACGATCATTATGACGCACCTTTATGATGTTTGCCCTGTTGTTGTGGCTGAAGTGTTTGATTAAACGCATTATTTTCAGGTGGGCTTCTGTTAATGGAATCCAGGCAGCTTGTCTGGATATCGCATCACACAATTAATTACATCAACCTTCAAGCTTAAAGGTCTGAAATCCTTTTTCCATAATTTTCTTGGCTTTGTAACTTAATTTTTTAAATATGCTACTGATTAAACCGGAAAAGTCGAAAGAGAGAGATTCACACAAAGTGCCTGGGGATGATGCTTTTAATTTACATAACTTTAAAGAGATTTTCATAGTCTACTTACGAGAGCTTCAATAAGATGATTACTTTAAAAAGGAGGATTAATAACGTGGATATTAATTTAAATGAATATCTTTTATTTTTGTAATCTTCTATTTTCAAATATTATTTTAAAATCTTTTCTTTCATGGGCTTCTAACGTTTTTTTTATGGATTCCTTTATTCATTCCCCGTGTCTTTGTTGCCATATTACCAATAATGACATTTTTTAAAAAAGTCCCGGCAGACCTCTTCATCTGTCCATAATGCTCCTGCGATGCTTTGTCAGGTTTGCAGCGTTTAATTGGACCTTTGGGAAGGGATTGCTCAACATGGTCGGCTTTGTTGTTCCACCTTTTTTTGTGGAACCTCTTCTACGTTGCCATTGTTTGGCATAAAGGTCAAGGAACAGTTGGAATTTGTAATGGCAAATTGTATTAGCTACGAATGGTTGCTCAAAATTAGCCGAACTTGTGCGAAGGAAATTCAATTGAATCGCGCTCAACTCAAGATTGTTGCAAGGTTCACTGAACGGGTGGCAGATGCCTTTGGGTAATTAAGACTTTTTTCTCGAGCTGCAGATATGTGATGGGGACTAAGTCTAAAGTTTAAAGAACTTTCGAGGGTGTGTTCAAGCAGAAGTGCAGAGAACTCCAAGTGGTTGCAATTTAAAGGATCTTGAAGATAATTTGAAAACTTTGAAGTCTTAAATTTAATTTCTGAAATTTCTCTAGAAATTTAACTCAGGGGCATTGGCAATTTCTGGACGTAAGAAATTCTTGTTCAGGGAAATCGGGTAAAAGGCTTTAACTCAAAAAGTGCTCTTTGTTTTAAGGTATAATTAAAATTTTTGATATTCAAAACATTTTATTTGATTTTGTACATATTTATTTTATACATATCCCATTTCAAATGTATTATTATAAATGGCGCCCAAAATAAAAATACAAAAATAAAAATTGTAACAATTTAACACTTTAATTTTCTTTATTGCTCCTTTAATGCTTGTATCTGTCAAAAGGCGTCTATCCACCATCTGTCAAAGTGCCAACACGCACTCAGCCACGTAAATATTTCTACTTGTTTTCTCGCTTGTTGACTTTTATTGAAAAACTTTCATTTTTCGCTATTGTTCTTTTTTTTTGTCTTACTTCAACGTTTTTGGAAAGAAGGGTTCTTCCTTGCCCAGCAAAAAAATGTTGTTGAGTAGAGCTCTCAAACAATGCAAATTTTCAACCCTCCTTCGCCAGAGTCTCTGCTTAAAATGTCTACAGATTCTAATATAGCAATTATTTGCAATTCTTTGACATTGTTTGCTGAGGGTAAAATTATTTCATTGTCAGCAGTTGAATGTTTGTTTGACTGCATCTTTTTTGCATAAATTTGTTCTATTTATAGTCGAATAGACATCATTTTGGGCAGATGGTTTTCTCAAGTCTAAAATAAACGCGGACTTAAATCCTTAAAGAGATGTCATTTGATTTTGTTGACCGGCGGGAAAATCATTGATGAAATTAAGAGCAACGGACATAAACACGTTCCCTCTTAGCCTGAATATATAATGAACACAAATTGACTAATGCCAATCGTAATCATCAAGTTAATACATATTCATTGGATAATATAAAATATGAATAATAATAAATGTGTCGGTTGGCTAGGCTTTGATGGGCAGGATTATAGATAAAATGTAAATAGGCTTATAAATGACAGAATTCATTTGGTTTTGCAATGCATAAAGACTAAGAAAATTTATTTAAGTCAACTAAAATACATTGAATACAATAACGTTATTATTACGTGTTAGTGTTGCTCAGAAATCCAACTTATTTGCCATTTACCTTAATTAATAAACTCATTACAAGGAAGTTTCAATCATCAAAACCATTTGTAATAATTACATAATCATCACACTCCCATTAGGTGATTATCATCTCATAATTAAATCATAATGGGGACCAATATTAGACAGTCATCTACCCAAATATTGAAGCAATCAATTGTTGATATCTTCAACAATTAGATGGAAGTATCCATCAAGTCTAGACTATTCCAACCGCATGTTCTATAAATATTTATAACATTTGGACAGTAATTAGTCGCATTGAATATTTATATTGTGTGGGCTTATTCAGCCGCAGAAAGAAGCTGACAATAGACTGTGAAATTTGTTTTCTACCTGTCTGGCGGTGGCCTTATTCCTCGTGGGATTGAGTTTTGGGTTTCCTTTTGCCACTTGAGATGTCCGATTAGATGTGGGATTCTTTGCGGACATTTCTTTGGCTTTTTGGAAGGCAAAAAACGTGCCAAATGGTGCCATTCGTGTGCATTTAAATGTGCTGATTAACTTGATTTAGGTATGTCATTGCCATTGCAATACCTTGTCTGGGGGAAAGTCCTTTGAACTGCGCTTCGTTTAGTTCGTCGGTTGTCAAGAGATGCAACTAATATGCAAATCAGCTTAAGTCAACATTTACAACGGAAATGTATCAATTTTCGTTCAAACTATCAGTTAAATAAATCTTCAATTAAATGATAAACTTGATAAGAAACATGGTTTATGCAACAATATATGTGTAACTAATACATTGTTTGCATTTCAAAGAATTTTAATTGAATTTTCCAGAGCTTCTTGATTGGCATATTTGTATATTTTACCACATAAGAATTTATTCTAATCGAAATTTGCAAAATGCCACTCAAAGTGGAATGCAGGGGGCAGTCTGGAGTATGAAAACCTCATGCTGAGTGGGCGTGAAATAAAATGAAATCAATTTTTATCGGCACAAATATGCTTCAATCTAATAAACACATTTCAACGGAAACAGTTACGGTCTATTTTCACCTGTCGTCTGGAAATTTTGTCAGCCAAAGGCAAAAAAGGAGCATGAATACTAATTTGACAGGCTAGCCATCCCCCGTAGACAATGATTTTCCCATGCCCTGTCGACATATCATTGCGTTTGTGTCACAATCACTTTCAGACTTGTAATTTTAGTCTACTTTTTACCTGGTTAACGTTAAGTTATCTAAAAAACATGAGACATTTGTGAAGGCCCTCATCAAATGGTTTTCTATTACGGTTTGATTAAACTAGACATGTGCTCGTGGGCTCTCGGACCCTATCTCTAAAATAAACTTTTATTTCGGCTTTTTCCCTGCCTTTAAACTTTAACCAATTTAATTAAGAGTACGTGTCCTTTTTTTAAAGGGTTTCACATTTTAATGAGTTGCGAGCAAACGTGATCCGCTTGTCAAATATTTTGCACAATCTCAACTGAGAAGGATCCCACACGTACACCAAAGTTTCATCAAGATATGTCCCACAAATTATTAAATATTTAAAGGAAAATGTTCTGATAGATAAAACGAAAACCGAAATGTTAACTGCAATCACATACTTCCTAATATTTCCGCAGTTGGTTTGACATGATTCGCTGTCCCTAAAGTTGACATCAATCAATAAGAATAATTCTGTTGTGTGCAAAAGAGCACTTTTC